CTGGCCCCGCTCCCATCTCTGTGTGGAGTGAGAGACAAATGCCCAAAATTAACAATTGTAAACCGCTTTGAGACTCAGATCTGCAGTGAAAAGGCGGTATATAAATAAAAACTTACTTACTTACTTACTATCTGACTGACTTGCTTACTTTGCACACCCCGGGAAGAGCACTGAGGTCCTCTGACCAGCTTCTTCTGCACTGTCCCAGGTCTAGATTAAAAACCAGAGGAGACCGAGCCTTTGCTGTGGCAGGGCCTAAACTCTGGAACGCTCTCCCTTACTCCATCAGAGCTGCCCCCTCTGTAGAGAGTTTTAAATCGCATCTAAAGACACATTTCTTTGCTTTGGCTTTTTAACACAAGCAATGTCGAAACATTTATGATGGTGTCCTGCATTTTATTTTATGCTGAATGTTATTTGTGTCTTGTATTTTTACAATGTCTGGTAAGCACTTTGTGACAGTCCTGTCTGTTTTTAAAATGTGCTATATAAATAATCTTGACCTTGACCTTGAATATTTGGAACTGAACTTTTGGTATTTTACAAATTGAATACTTTGATCTTTTTGTATTGAATACTTTGAATACTTCAACATTTCGTTATGAAAGATTTGATAAATATTTTGTTGTAATTGAATGCTTTGTATATTTTGTGTTGAATATTTGAATATTTTTAATTGAATACTTTGAGTTGAACATTTTGATTACTTATTATATATATTATAATAGACGGATTTGGGAACTAGAAAATGCAATAATTAACCTTTTTTAATATGTATTTAATATATTTCGGTGGTTTAAGATTTATTTTGCCTCACATCGATGACGACGTCCTAAAAAAAATGCCCTAACAACAGATCAGGTCAGTGGTATGCTAATGAGGATCGTTAGCCCGAGCAGGGTCGTTAGACCTGCTCCTACCACATCTTAACAGACGTTAGATGTGTTTATGAATTAGCCTCAGGATCAGAGTGTGGCTAACTTTTTAGAAAGATCAATTGATCAAGATGATGCTAATTCAAGCACAGATGATGCTAACTGAAGCACAGATGATGCTAACTGAAGTACAGATGATGCTAACTGAAGTACAGATGATGCTAACTGAAGTACAGATGATGCTAACTGAAGCACAGATGATGCTAACTGAAGCACAGATGATGCTAACTGAAGCACAGATGATGCTAATTCAAGCACAGATGATGCTAACTGAAGTACAGATGATGCTAACTGAAGTACAGATGATGCTAACTGAAGCACAGATGATGCTAACTGAAGCACAGATGATGCTAACTGAAGCACAGATGATGCTAACTGAAGTACAGATGATGCTAACTGAAGCACAGATGATGCTAACTGAAGTACAGATGATGCTAACTGAAGTACAGATGATGCTAACTGAAGTACAGATGATGCTAACTGAAGTACAGATGATGCTAACTGAAGTACAGATGATGCTAACTGAAGTACAGATGATGCTAACTGAAGTACAGATGATGCTAACTGAAGTACAGATGATGCTAACTGAAGTACAGATGATGCTAACTGAAGTACAGATGATGCTAACTGAAGTACAGATGATGCTAACTGAAGCACAGATGATGCTAACTGAAGACAGATGATGCTAACTGAAGCACAGATGATGCTAACTGAAGTACAGATGATGCTAACTGAAGTACAGATGATGCTAACTGAAGTACAGATGATGCTAACCGAAGTACAGATGATGCTAACTGAAGTACAGATGATGCTAACTGAAGTACAGATGATGCTAACTGAAGTACAGATGATGCTAACTGAACAGATGATGCTAACTGAAGCACAGATGATGCTAACTGAAGCACAGATGATGCTAATTCAAGCACAGATGATGCTAACTGAAGCACAGATGATGCTAACTGAAGCACAGATGATGCTAACTGAAGCACAGATGATGCTAACTGAAGTACAGATGATGCTAACTGAAGACAGATGATGCTAACTGAAGTACAGATGATGCTAACTGAAGTACAGATGATGCTAACTGAAGTACAGATGATGCTAACTGAAGTACAGATGATGCTAACTGAAGTACAGATGATGCTAACTGAAGTACAGATGATGCTAACTGAAGTACAGATGATGCTAACTGAAGCTACAGATGATGCTAACTGAAGTACAGATGATGCTAACTGAAGTACAGATGATGCTAACTGAAGTACAGATGATGCTAACTGAAGTACAGATGATGCTAACTGAAGTACAGATGATGCTAACTGAAGTACAGATGATGCTAACTGAAGTACAGATGATGCTAACTGAAGTACAGATGATGCTAACTGAAGTACAGATGATGCTAACTGAAGTACAGATGATGCTAACTGAAGCAGAGTGTACAGATGATGCTAACTGAAGTACAGATGATAGCTAACTGAAGTACAGATGATGCTAACTGAAGTACAGATGATGCTAACTGAAGCACAGATGATGCTAACTGAAGCACAGATGATGCTAATTCAAGCACAGATGATGCTAACTGAAGCACAGATGATGCTAACTGAAGCACAGATGATGCTAATTCAAGCACAGATGATGCTAACTGAAGCACAGATGATGCTAACTGAAGCACAGATGATGCTAACTGAAGTACAGATGATGCTAACTGAAGTACAGATGATGCTAACTGAAGTACAGATGATGCTAACTGAAGCACAGATGATGCTAACTGAAGCACAGATGATGCTAACTGAAGTACAGATGATGCTAACTGAAGTACAGATGATGCTAACTGAAGTACAGATGATGCTAACTGAAGTACAGATGATGCTAACTGAAGTACAGATGATGCTAACTGAAGCACAGATGATGCTAACTGAAGCACAGATGATGCTAACTGAAGCACAGATGATGCTAACTGAAGTACAGATGATGCTAACTGAAGTACAGATGATGCTAACTGAAGTACAGATGATGCTAACCGAAGTACAGATGATGCTAACTGAAGCACAGATGATGCTAACTGAAGTACAGATGATGCTAACTGAAGCACAGATGATGCTAACTGAAGCACAGATGATGCTAACTGAAGTACAGATGATGCTAACTGAAGCACAGATGATGCTAACTGAAGTACAGATGATGCTAACTGAAGCACAGCTGATGCTAACTGAAGTACAGATGATGCTAACTGAAGTACAGATGATGCTAACTGAAGCACAGATGATGCTAACTGAAGCACAGATGATGCTAATTCAAGCACAGATGATGCTAACTGAAGCACAGATGATGCTAACTGAAGTACAGATGATGCTAACTGAAGTACAAATGATGCTAACTGAAGTACAGATGATGCTAACTGAAGTACAGATGATGCTAACTGAAGCACAGATGATGCTAACTGAAGCACAGATGATGCTAACTGAAGCACAGCTGATGCTAACTGAAGCACAGATGATGCTAACTGAAGTACAGATTATGCTAACTGAAGCACAGATGATGCTAATTCAAGCACAGATGATGCTAACTGAAGCACAGATGATGCTAACTGAAGTACAGATGATGCTAACTGAAGTACAAATGATGCTAACTGAAGTACAGATGATGCTAACTGAAGTACAGATGATGCTAACTGAAGCACAGATGATGCTAACTGAAGCACAGATGATGCTAACTGAAGCACAGCTGATGCTAACTGAAGTACAGATGATGCTAACTGAAGTACAGATGATGCTAACTGAAGCACAGATGATGCTAACTGAAGTACAGATTATGCTAACTGAAGCACAGATGATGCTAACTGAAGTACAGATGATGCTAACTGAAGTACAGATGATGCTAACTGAAGTACAGATGATGCTAACTGAAGCACAGATGATGCTAACTGAAGCACAGATGATGCTAACTGAAGTACAGATGATGCTAACTGAAGCACAGATGATGCTAACTGAAGTACAGATGATGCTAACTGAAGTACAGATGATGCTAACTGAAGCACAGATGATGCTAACTGAAGTACAGATGATGCTAACTGAAGTACAGATGATGCTAACTGAAGCACAGATGATGCTAACTGAAGTACAGATGATGCTAACTGAAGTACAGATGATGCTAACTGAAGCACAGATGATGCTAACTGAAGCACAGATGATGCTAACTGAAGCACAGATGATGCTAACTGAAGCACAGATGATGCTAACTGAAGCACAGATGATGCTAACTGAAGTACAGATGATGCTAACTGAAGCACAGATGATGCTAACTGAAGTACAGATGATGCTAACTGAAGTACAGATGATGCTAACTGAAGCACAGATGATGCTAACTGAAGCACAGATGATGCTAACTGAAGCACAGATGATGCTAACTGAAGCACAGATGATGCTAACTGAAGTACAGATGATGCTAACTGAAGCACAGATGATGCTAACTGAAGTACAGATGATGCTAACTGAAGCACAGATGATGGAGAGAAACCTTCTTTGATTTGACTAATCCCTGAATGATAGAGTTTAAAACAAACTGAGATACAGGAAGAGAAAGCAGACAGTAAAATACAACATGTGATGTTTGATTTAAAAGTGGATCTGAGCCAAGATTAGATTTTGAGAATTCCCTGTTTATTCTCATACATTCCAGTTAAGTCAATTAAATTCCTTTTAATTCCAATGGAAAGTTTCTATCTTTGAGAATTCCTGGAAGTTTGCAGCTGTAGACAGGATCCAACAGTACATGCATGTGAACATTGAATTAGATCCATCTTGATTTGAAACTTCAACTTTAAAGGCTTATTTTAATCATACATTCATTTAAAGGGATTTCCTGTTAGTCCTTTATCCATTATGTTTAACTGTTGACTAAAAATAACATTACAACAAAGAAGTTGTGGTAAGATTATTAAACCCAATAAAATAAGAGTCCAAACATAAGCCGGTCTGTATACAAAATTATTCATTTATTGAGGAATTATTTAAGAACATTGAAGCATATAGATACAAAGTGTGCAACTGATATGTCGTACAATGGTACATGACGGGACATGCGGCGTCTCAACATGGTCCAGGGAACTTCACATTGGTGGGCACAGACTCGGGCACAGACTCGGGCACAGACTCGGGCACAGACTCGGGCACAGACTCGGGCACAGACTCGGGCACAGCACTGGGTATGATATGGAGCGCAGATAACAGCCATGAGCCACGGACACCACGGCTATGCTTTACACCCAGGACAGGGCACTCTGGCTGGGGCTCAGAATCTCACAGAGAGGGCAGACAGAGGGAACACGGCAGTACTCTCTTGAATAAAGTAGTTATAAAACAATTGACTTTTAACAAGCGCTAGTTTTTTGTTCTCATTTCAAGTGAGAATTGGCTTGACTCTTACAAAACAAACTTCTGCTTGTCCCATTGGCAAATCCAGGCTAAAACAGATACATCTAACCTACTCCAAGCAAGTTGTGACTTGTTTTTGGTCAATATTTTGCAGTGTATTTACTTGTCCATCTTTTATCAATTCAAGGTTGTATTTGTTTTTGAATAGTTTGCTTGCTTATTTGCTTAAGTAGTATCTGCTCTTTCCCATTCCTAGTCTTCCACCAGAGAAGCCCCTAACCTTAGCATCACACTGTTTACCACCTAGCAATTAGCATCAGTTAGCTTTGTTGTAGTTTTTCATTCAACTGGATCCAATTTCTGGCACAAACACCAATTTCTGACACACAAATGTGACTTTTTTGGCAGACCATAGATTTATAATAAAAACTTCCAAGATGGCCACCTATAGTCCGGACACAGAGAAGAGGCCCGGACAATGCAGTACTGCGTCGATCCACAAAAGCAGAGACGTACACTACAAGCAACTCTTTGTTCCTTTCAATTTCAAAATAGTATTTCAGTTTTTCTGGGAGAATCTGAACTGTACACATGGATTGTTGCCCTCTGCTGCCCTCTGTCGTTTCAGCCCATTTTTCGCCTTTTTCTTTCAAATACGACATTAAAAACAGGACAAAACTGCATATCCTTCATTGACAAAAAAGTACGAGTACGTGGAGCGGACATTCACCAGTCTGCTAAAGCGTTACTTCATACAAAAATAACGCGCTACGCACTTCTAACATGGGACAAGACGCCGGGTTAAGACTATTCATATCATCAGTATCATTATGAAACATCCAACTGTACAGCTTCATTCATGCACGACGCAAAATGGCGGGTTACGGAACAAAGTATGGCACGCAAAGAGAAACTAAACTAGTATATCGATAATATAGTATACTTTCATCATTACGATTAATAAGTTGATGCAATGAGCGGTTGTGCTGATTGTAAGAGATTTGGGATGTATGAAATACCCTGATTTTTGTGCGTCTTTCAAAATCCAGGAAAACAATAAAAGTCATTTGTAATAGCAGCTCTCGCCTCGTCCGACAAAGGTGTAAGATTGTAGTTGTGTTGCTTTTCCCCGCGTACGATTAAAGCCACAGTCTGTAATTTTCGCCCGTCGTTTTCTACTTGCGCTGCCCCAATGTTCCACCATCTCCAGTTTTTTAAAAGCATGTTTCAACTTTGTTCCGCTTAAAAAAAAACAGACCTACGGTAGTTTTTTAGCTCCATCCATGCTAATGTTGAGACAGGTGTGACGTCGTGGATAGCAATGTTTTCTGTTTTGAAGCATTTGTACGAACAGGTAAAGACTTGAACTGAACTAAAAACCATCAGACTTGAGCGTGTGACATCACAACACAGTCACACTAGCGTGTGTGGATCTAAAAAAAAGCTGTTTTTGACGAGGAAGAATGTTGGATATGTTATGCAGCACGAATAGTTTCATTTTTTAAGTTTTGACTAAATATTTTTAGTCGACACACATCCGACCTGCCAAACGTCGTAATGCAGTTAGCATCATGCTAATCACATAGCTTCACTTTTTCAAACTGAAATTGGATCAAAAGCAGAAATCAACCCAAACTAATGCACGACATATTTTATTTCTCTTTTTTGCACTTCCCGGATCTTACTTTCCCAAATTCCTCCAAAAACTCAGATTACTAAACTGTGGCTTTTAATCATTCCCCTTTTCCTGCCACGGTTCCACTTTTAGAAGGTCCTACATTATGTATATTTAAGTCCACAATTTTGGACCATTTCATCTTGGAATTCCACAGGATATAATCACAGTAAAGCAACTACTTAAGTATTTCAGTGCTAATGTCTGAGCACGCTAATGCTACAGGGATAAGCAGCTACATGTAGCCAATCGGCGAGCATAATATAGGACCCCTCAAGAGCCTGTGCCACATTTTTACCCCAGAAAAAAAAAACTTTATCCCATAAGAGTTGTGCTGTAAAAGCAGCTTGATAAATGTATCACGTTTTCAATCTCACAACAGACCTTCTGCATGTATGGCTTGGAATAGCTCAGTATAGCTTAGCATAACAGCATCGTGCAAATCTCTGAAAGCTTTTAAACATTGATTGTGGTTAAAATGGGGTTACAGGGTAAAATTAGGTACAGGCTCTTTAAAGTAACGCTCTTATTGCTTCTCTCTCTTCCCTCGGCGCTTGTGTGCTGTAGACTGAAAGAAGGCGGTCGGCTGTGGAGGCTCTACTTGAACTCTGCCAGGACGTCGTTGAAGATGTTGAGGAAGAGCGCCACATGGTACTCTTTAAAGATGAGGGCGGGACGGAAGCGGATGGAGCGGTCGCCACAGCCGCCCAGCAGCACGCCTGGACACACACACACACACACACACACACACACACACACACACACACACACACACACACACACACACACACACACACACACACACACACACACACACACACACACACACACACACACACACACACACACACACACACACACACACACACACACACACACACACACACACACACACACACACACACACACACACACACACACACACACACACAGTTAGAAAAAACATGTAACAATGAGATAGTTCAAAGCAGATAAGTACAGACTATGTTAAAAATCTGGCCGGTCTGAGAAGATCAATTAAGAACCACATCACCCCTGTCCTGAAACAACCACATCACCCCTGTCCTGAAACAACCACACCACCCCTGTCCTGAAACAACCACACCACCCCTGTCCTGAAACAACCACACCACCCCTGTCCTGAAACAACCACATCACCCCTGTCCAGAAACAACCACACCACCCCTGTCCTGAAACAACCACATCACCCCTGTCCTGAAACAACCACACCACCCCTGTCCTGAAACAACCACATCACCCCTGTCCTGAAACAACCACATCACCCCTGTCCTGAAACAACCACATCACCCCTGTCCTGAAACAACCACATCACCCCTGTCCTGAAACAACCACATCACCCCTGTCCTGAAACAACCACATCACCCCTGTCCTGAAACAACCACACCACCCCTGTCCTGAAACAACCACATCACCCCTGTCCTGAAACAACCACATCACCCCTGTCCTGAACACAACTGAACACCATCACCCCTGTCCTGAAACAACCACATCACCCCTGTCCTGAAACAACCACATCACCCCTGTCCTGAAACAACCACATCACCCTGTCCTGAAACAACCACACCACCCCTGTCCTGAAACAACCACACCATCCCTGTCCTGAAACAACCACATCACCCCTGTCCTGAAACAACCACACCATCCCTGTCCTGAAACAACCACATCACCCCTGTCCTGAAACAACCACATCACCCCTGTCCTGAAACAACCACACCACCCCTGTCCTGAAACAACCACATCACCCCTGTCCTGAAACAACCACATCACCCCTGTCCTGAAACAACCACATCACCCCTGTCCTGAAACAACCACATCACCCCTGTCCTGAAACAACCACATCACCCCTGTCCTGAAACAACCACACCACCCCTGTCCTGAAACAACCACATCACCCCTGTCCTGAAACAACCACATCACCCCTGTCCAGAAACAACCACACCACCCCTGTCCTGAAACAACCACATCACCCCTGTCCTGAAACAACCACATCACCCCTGTCCTGAAACAACCACACCACCCCTGTCCTGAAACAACCACATCACCCCTGTCCTGGAACAACCACATAACCCCTGTCCTGACACAACCACATCACCCCTGTCCTGAAACAACCACACCACCCCTGTCCTGAAACAACCACATCACCCCTGTCCTGGAACAACCACATAACCCCTGTCCTGACACAACCACATCACCCCTGTCCTGAAACAACCACATCACCCCTGTCCTGAAACGACCACATCACCCCTGTCCTGAAACGACCACATCACCCCTGTCCTGAAACGACCACATCACCCCTGTCCTGAAGCAACCACATCACCCCTGTCCTGAAACAACCACATCACCCCTGTCCTGAAACAACCACACCACCCCTGTCCTGAAACAACCACATCACCCCTGTCCTGAAACAACCACATCACCCCTGTCCTGAAACAACCACATCACCCCTGTCCTGAAACACAACCACATCACGCCTGTCCTGAAACACAACCACATCACCCCTGTCCTGAAACAACCCCATCACCCCTGTCCTGAAACAACCACATCACCCCTGTCCTGAAACAACCCCATCACCCCTGTCCTGAAACAACCACATCACCCCTGTCCTGAAACAACCACATCACCCCTGTCCTGAAACAACCACACCACCCCTGTCCTGAAGCAACCACACCACCCCTGTCCTGAAACAACCACATCACCCCTGTCCTGAAACAACCACATCACCCCTGTCCTGAAACAACCACATCACCCCTGTCCTGAAACAACCACATCACCCCTGTCCTGAAACAACCACACCACCCCTGTCCTGACACAACCACATCACCCCTGTCCTGAAACAACCACATCACCCCTGTCCTGACACAACCACATCACCCCTGTCCTGAAACAACCACACCACCCCTGTCCTGAAACAACCACACCACCCCTGTCCTGAAACAACCACACCACCCCTGTCCTGAAACAACCACATCACCCCTGTCCTGAAACAACCACATCACCCCTGTCCTGAAACGACCACATCACCCCTGTCCTGAAACAACCACATCACCCCTGTCCTGACACAACCACATCACCCCTGTCCTGGAACAACCACATCACCCCTGTCCTGACACAACCACATCACCCCTGTCCTGAAACAACCACATCACCCCTGTCCTGAAACAACCACATCACTCCTGTCCTGAAACAACCACATCACCCCTGTCCTGAAACAACCACACCACCCCTGTCCTGAAACAACCACATCACCCCTGTCCTGGAACAACCACATAACCCCTGTCCTGAAACAACCACATCACCCCTGTCCTGAAACAACCACATCACACCTGTCCTGAAACAACCACATCACCCCTGTCCTGAAACAACCACATCACCCCTGTCCTGAAACAACCACATCACCCCTGTCCTGGAACAACCACATAACCCCTGTCCTGAAACAACCACATCACCCCTGTCCAGAAACAACCACACCACCCCTGTCCTGAAACAACCACATCACCCCTGTCCTGAAACAACCACATCACCCCTGTCCTGAAACAACCACATCACCCCTGTCCTGAAACAACCACACCACCCCTGTCCTGAAACAACCACATCACCCCTGTCCTGAAACAACCACATCACCCCTGTCCTGAAACGACCACATCACCCCTGTCCTGAAACAACCACATCACCCCTGTCCTGAAACAACCACACCACCCCTGTCCTGAAACAACCACATCACCCCTGTCCTGAAACGACCACATCACCCCTGTCCTGAAACAACCACACCACCCCTGTCCTGAAACAACCACACCACCCCTGTCCTGAAACAACCACATCACCCCTGTCCTGAAACAACCACATCACCCCTGTCCTGAAACAACCACATCACTCCTGTCCTGAAACAACCCACATCACTCCTGTCCTGAAACAACCACATCACCCCTGTCCTGAAACAACCACATCACCCCTGTCCTGAAACAACCACATCACCCCTGTCCTGGAACAACCACATCACCCCTGTCCTGAAACAACCACACCACCCCTGTCCTGAAACAACCACATCACCCCTGTCCTGAAACAACCACATCACCCCTGTCCTGAAACAACCACATCACCCCTGTCCTGAAACAACCACATCACCCCTGTCCTGAAACAACCACACCACCCCTGTCCTGAAACAACCACATCACCCCTGTCCTGAAACAACCACATCACTCCTGTCCTGGAACAACCACATAACCCCTGTCCTGACACAACCACATCACCCCTGTCCTGACACAACCACATCACCCCTGTCCTGAAACAACCACATCACCCCTGTCCTGGAACAACCACATCACCCCTGTCCTGAAACAACCACATCACCCCTGTCCTGGAACAACCACATCACCCCTGTCCTAAAACAACCACACCACCCCTGTCCTAAAACAACCACACCACCCCTGTCCTGAAACAACCACACCACCCCTGTCCTGAAACAACCACATCACCCCTGTCCTGAAACAACCACATCGCCCCTGTCCTGAAACAACCACATCACCCCTGTCCTGAAACAACCACATCACCCCTGTCCTGAAACAACCACATCACCCCTGTCCTGAAACACAACCACATCACCCCTGTCCTGGAGCAACCACTCACTCCTGAGCCTTAAAAGTTTATTTTATTTTTACATTTTGAAGGTATTTTGACATGACATTTTTCACGACACTTAAAAGTTTATGTTTTGCTATTGTGAAAAAAAGTTGTTTATTGTTTATATTGAACCAAGACGGACCAAATATTTGTCTATATTTACCTTCTTATATATATAAGACAACATATATAAATATGTGTTGGGTAAACATTTTAGAATGAATTAAATTTGGTTGTTTTCTTGAGAAAGATTTATAACATACCAAGGTCGTCCATAACTATCAATGCTGCAAGTTGATAATAATAATTGAAAATCATGTTAGGGGCCGCTAAAAATTGTCTTGCGGCCGGATTTGGCCCACGAGCCTGAGTTTAACATCCCTGGTATTTACAATAAAAACATTATATCAATATATTGAAATGTGCCTTTACTCGTCTTGTGCTTTGGGCTCAAAAGTGTGTTTTCGATCTTTCTTTTTTTTCTGTCATGGGTATTGTTAGTTATAGAATTTATCTTCATTTTATTTTTTGATTAATGACTCATTCTGTTTAGATGTGTTGAACCTTCTTTCATTTAATTACATTTTTCTTCTTTATATTTTAGCTTCTCTGCCCATCACAAGGGAAATGGGATGTGGGGAACACAAAGGGGACACAAAGTAAAGTGTGAGGCCAACCAGTAACCTGGCAAGAGCCAGATTGATGATTGTGTAGAACTCTAACGCGTTCTCCACGATATCAATCTGGGATTTCTCCCGGAGAATCCTTTCGGGGAAAGGAGGGATAAGCAGCAGAATACTTCAAGCTGATTGGGCGAAGTGACGCTGTGTGCCCGCCTACCAAGAAAGGCACAAAGCGCCTCTCGTTGTTCATCTTTCAAAAAAGAAATTGGAGATTCTGCTAAAACTGACTTGATAGCCTCAGCTACGCATCCGTCCTCCTGCGTAGCCATGTTTGTTTTGCTTCGGCCCGGCACTTCTTGCTTTCGTCAAACCCGGATATCCCGCCCTAAACCCCCAGACTGGCGCGTGATTGGCTCGCACACCCAGTGGTTCGACTCGAAAAGTGTAAGTGGGAGCGGTACAAGATGTATTCTCGAGTGTTTGTGAACTCACAAATACCGCGAGAATTCAGCTTGCAGGCAAGGTTAGCCAACCAGGGCAAAAATGTAAATACAAAATAATGATCACAAAAATAAATCTGTAGAAATGTCCTGGACGTGTGATGGAGGCAGATGGCCAGTAGGGGGCGGTGTCTGAATAGCAGTAAACAGTCTGCCACGTGATTGAGCAATGACCTGGATATTCAGTGTATTTGAAAGGCATCTGTTTCAGTCATGATCGGTCAGTAAACTATGCTCTGGAGCCAGATGTGGCTCTTTCTAGGACTGTGTGGCTCTTTCTAGGACTGTGTGGCTCTTTCTAGGACTGTGTGGCTCTATCTAGGACTGTGTGGCTCTTCTGATGACTGTGTGGCTCTTTCTATGACACTGTGGCTCTTTCTATGACTGTGTGGCTCTTCTGATGACTGTGTGGCTCTTTCTATGACTGTGTGGCTCTTCTGATGACTGTGTGGCTCTTTCTAGGACTGTCTGGCTCTTCTGATGACTGTGTGGCTCTTTCTATTTCTGTGTGGCTCTTCAAATGACTGTGTGGCTCTTTCTATGAATGTGTGGCTCTTTCTATTTCTGTGTGGCTCTTTCTATGATTAGGTGGCTCTTTCTATGACTGTGTGGCTCTTCTGATGACTGTCTGGCTCTTTCTAGGACTGTGAGGCTCTTCTGATGACTGTGTGGCTCTTTCTAGGACTGTGTGGCTCCTTTGATGACTGTGTGGCTCTTCTGATGACTGTGTGGCTCTTTCTATGACTGGCTCTTCTGATAACTGTCTGGCTCTTTCTATGACTGTGTGGCTCTTTCTATGACTGTGTGGCTCTTTCTATGACTGTGTGGCTCTTTCCATGACTGTCTGGCTCTTTCCATGACTGTGTGGCTCTTTCCATGACTGTGTGGCTCTTCTGATGACTGTGTGGCTCCCAGACAAATCCGAGGCCTTCATATTGAGGATTTCTTCAGTATAAAAATGTTAATAAACAAAAAAATATTCTCGGAGACTAAAATAACAATCTAAACCTGTTGATCTTGTTCTAAAAAAATCACACTTTATTCACAGTAAAAAAGTACATGGCTCCCACAGAAATACATGTTAAAGTATGAGACTTTTTTGGCTCTCAGATAAAAAGGTTCCCGGCCTTAGTTCCCTATGAAGCGCCGACCTTCAATATTGAAAATCTCTGGTTGATTCTTGTTTATTCCCCCAAGTTCCTGTTAATTCCCAGATTTATAAATTCCGGGAATCTCGCAACCTTCGTCAAAAGTTCCATTGAATCCAACGAAAATAACTATTGTAACATTTGTAGATCGTAATGCAGCATTTTAAGATCTATTTCTAATGCCGTAAAGTACTGTCAATAACAAACATGTTACTGTAGCAAGAGATATACAACTTTTTGACACATTTTCTAATCGGAGATATCTGTTTTGGCAAATGCAGAAACAATATTCACAAATGCTCTTTGCTGGAGCTTATAAAACAATGTGATGGTTCTGAAGTGTGTGGTGTTTCGGACAAACCTGTTTGTATAAAGGCAAATCAGAGGTGTGTGTCTGCAGAGTGAAGGTGGAGCAGCAACATTCTAATACTCAGACCATTTTAAAGAGTTAGAGATTTTATACTTGTTTCTTTATTATGCTAGAGTAAGAGATTTTATTCTGTTTTAGTTTAGAGTTATTCTTTTATCTTGTGCTGCGTGCTGATGCAACACTGACATTTCTCCACTGTGGATTGAATAAAGGATCTCTTCATCTTAACCTTACAGCTGCTCAGTTTAACCATGGCTTGACCATAAAAGTGGCCTCATAATAAAGTCAGTGTGTAAACATAACTATGGAGAAAATGAGACCCTGAATATGGTCATTTATCTACCCCTGGTCTCCCCCGGCCCGGACTCAGACGCAGCTCCACCCAGCCTGGGAGCTGCCTCAGTCCTCGTTCTACAGCCTCAGTCCTGGGTCTACAGCCTCAGTCCTGGGTCTACAGCCTCAGTCCTGGGTCTACAGCCTCAGTCCTGGTTCTACAGCCTCAGTCCTGGTTCTACAGCCTCAGTCCTGGTTCTACAGCCTCAGTCCTGGGTCTACAGCCTCAGTCCTGGATCTACAGCCTCAGTCCTGGTTCTACAGCCTCAGACCTGGTTCTACAGCCTCAGTCCTGGGTCTACAGCCTCAGTCCTGGGTCTATAGCCTCAGTCCTGGGTCTACAGCCTCAGTCCTGGGTCTACAGCCTCAGTCCTGGGTCTACAGCCTCAGTCCTGGGTCTACAGCCTCAGACCTGGTTCTACAGCCTCAGACCTGGTTCTACAGCCTCAGTCCTGGGTCTACAGCCTCAGTCCTGGTTCTACAGCCTCAGTCCTGGTTCTACAGCCTCAGTCCTGGTTCTACAGCCTCAGTCCTGGTTCTACAGCCTCAGTCCTGGTTCTACAGCCTCAGTCCTGGATCTACAGCCTCAGTCCTGGGTCTACAGCCTCAGTCCTGGGTCTACACCCTCAGTCCTGGGTCTACACCCTCAGTCCTGGGTCTACAGCCTCAGTCCTGGGTCTACAGCCTCAGTCCTGGGTCTACAGCCTCAGTCCTGGGTCTACAGCCTCAGTCCTGGGTCTACAGCCTCAGTCCTGGGTCTACAGCCTCAGACCTGGTTCTACAGCGCAGTCCTGGGTCTACAGCCTCAGTCCTGGGTCTACAGCCTCAGTCCTGGGTCTACAGCCTCAGTCCTGGGTCTACAGCCTCAGTCCTGGTTCTACAGCCTCAGTCCTGGTTCTACAGCCTCAGTCCTGGTTCTACAGCCTCAGTCCTGGTTCTCAGGAGGGTCTGTGGACAGTGATTATCCAGGACATTTATGAACATTTAAGGACACTGGTCGTCCCGCTCCAAATGGAACCAATGGCTCCTATGTGTGTGTTATTAATGTCTTTCCTGTGTTTGATTCTCTGATCTGTTGATGGAGAATCGACACATTTGTAAAGTCCTCAGAGACGACTGCAGTTGTGATCGAATTGAACATAAATACATTTTCAGCGAGAATTGTTATGAACGCTGGTTGAGCTCCTGGTCTGGGCCTTTTCACAAAGCACCCCTCCCTCTCTGTGTGTCTTCCTCTGTTTCTGTCTATGTGGAGCCCTCCGTGCAGCCAATGAGAACTCTGCACAAATCAATCAGAGCCACCAGAGAAAGAGCCAGCGGTCAATAAAACAAGACGTCCAGACTTGCGTTCCGGTTGGCCACTCGTTGGAGGTCGACGTGTTTTTTTGGGGGCGGACCTAGAGACTTTGAGACTTAGGAAGAACTCATTGTTTTGACTTTAAGTTTTGTAAATACTCTTCTACTTTAACCCTTTCTGCCCTAGAATGAAAAAGGCTATTTTAATTTACCATTTCCACCTGGGTTTTAGGTTTCATTCCTTTCTCCTTCACGAGCCATGTTTATGGTTGTAACATGAGCGTCTGTACCTTTGTCGCGGGCCTTGAGGAGGATCTGGTTCCTGGTCGGGTCGTCGCGGATGTCCACCGCACAGAAGGTGCCCTGACCTCGGGCTCGACTCAGCAGACCCGGGTACTGCTCCTGCAGAGGGAGCCACAGAGCAGCATCAGTGACACATCCACCATCTCTTCAGAGAGAAACCAGAGAGAGGGACCAGAGAGAGACCAGAGCAAGAGACCTGAAAGATGCTTTTTGAGACGCTCAAAGAGGCTTCACTTTGAGAGACTTCACTCTGAGAGACCAGAGAGCTAGACCAGAGAGAAAGACCAGACAGAGACTGGAGAGAGAGACCAGAGCGAGACCAGATAGGGAGACCAGACAGAGAGACCAGAGAGAGACCACAAACGATCAATGCGTCATCGTTCATAATCTCCAACGACAAAGGGAAACTGAGAAAAGTCTACATTGGAGGAAACTGGACCTGGAGAGAGTAGAGTCCCTGCAGCAGAGCGTCTCCAGAGCGCCTCACTTCCTCCAGGAGGTTCTCCCGGCGGATCACGTTCAGAACCTCGATCAGGAACAGGTTCTTGGACGGGTCTCCCATCCACGTGTTGAAGATCCGGTAACCCTGAAATACAGGCAAAACCACGTCACCAATTTCACTTTTCAACAACAACAAATGATAAAATGAAATTGAAGTTTTTTGCTTGATAGTTTCAACTGGATCTGCTTCTTCACAGAAAAGTTAAAAAAAGTAAAAGCACCCTCAATCTGCCAATCAACTCTCAGAGCAAATTGTCAAATAGAGACTCTAATCACCAAACGCTACGCTCTCATCCCACGGAGCCATCTAGTTTTATTTGCGATCTGATACATATGCTAACATTAGCATATGTACTTAAGTACTTAAGCTGTACAACAATCACTGATGAAATGGTACAAAAATGACTGTTTTTCTGATGTTGTTTCTGTGAGCACTGGTTCTCCTCAGGGATGTATTTTGAGTCCTTTGCTTTTTACTTTGTACACTCACGATTGTGTGTCCTCCTCTGACTCAAACTTGATCATCAAATATGCTGATGACACCACCATCATCGGTCTCATCAGTGACACTGATGAATCCTCTTATAGAGCAGAGATACAAAATGTGGTTCAGTGGAGTCAAACTAACAACCTCCAGTTGAACGCATCCAAAACATGTGAACTGGTCTACGACTTCAGTCGCAATAGTTCTCATTTGCCTGTCGTAATCGACAACTCCCAGGTGCAGATCGTAGAGGAGTGCAAGTTTCTGGGTCTAACTCTGTCTAACCTGAAATGGGTTAAAAACACTGACCGAGTCGTTAAGAAAGCTCGTCAGCGTCTCTACTTTCTGCGTAAACTTAGAGAATTTACCACTAACTCTAAGATTGTGCTTAACTTTTATCGCTGCACCATTGAGAGTTTACTTGTTGGTTCTGTGTCTGTGTGGTTTGGAAACATCACAGATAAAGAAAAGAGAGCTTTAAACAAGGTGCTCCGCTCTGCAAAGAGGACCGTGGGCTGTGAGCTTCCTGTTCTGGAGGTTCTTTATAAATCCAGACTTTTAAACAAAGCTCTTAGGATTGTCAATGACTCTTCTGGCCACTCTGGGAAAGCCATGTTCCAGCTTCTTCCCTCTGGCAGAAGATATCGCTCTCTGAGGGTGTATTCAGACCTGAAAAGTCCTTTGCTCCGCTTGCTTGATCCGAATCAAAAGCAGACCAAACTTTTTTCTTTTGCTCCGGTTCGTATTCAGACTGTCCTTTTTTGCAAGTGAACTTTTTTATATAAACATATCGACACGTGTGACAATCGGCTCCTATTGGACAGTGAGAGCTCACGGAGAATAGACGGGGAACCGGAGGAAAACATTGAGGGCTCGTATGTGCAGCATGTCTGCTCTGCTGTGTTTGCTCTTTTTAGAGCAAAACCACCTTCAACATCAACAGCAGCTCATATGACACAGGCCAAACACCTTGTTTTAAATATTGGAACAGAGTCGGAGAATGCGTGAGGAGAAAGCCGAAGGAGACTGTGCGCTCCGTGCCCTGTTCCACACATGGATCTATTATAATAACGGCCCTGTTCAGCATCGTGGATAAACCATGGATCTATAATAACCACGGGACAAACAGACGCTGAGGATCAGGTAGGAACCAAAGAACACAATTCACTACATGATGCAGAATATTGCTCTTTGAGACGTGAGTCAAACACGTCAGGCTTTTAATAATGCAAATGGTTTGAAGATGCTGCCATTAATATCAATGTGAACAGTTGTAACTCCATAAGTCTGTTGCACAGCGTCTCCTCACTGCTCCAGGTCTGCCCACGGCTCAGTGTTGTTGTGTAGCGTTAGCAGCATAGTTAGCATCATAGTTAGCATCATAGTTAGCATCATAGTTAGCAGCATAGTTAGCATCATAGTTAGCATCATAGTTAGCAGCATAGTTAGCATCATAGTTAGCCGCTGCATGGCTAATTCCTCAGTTTCTGTCTGCGGTGCTTGTTAAGCCCAAAAAAATGCGCACGTATCTTGGAGTTGTGTCGGATCGACACCGGATGTATTCAGACCTGATTCGACTTGGACCAGAATTCGTTTGGAAGCGGACCGAGACCACCTCAAAAAGTGGGTCTCGGTTCGGTTCTTTGGTCCGGACCAGGTTTGTGTGTATTCAGACCTGCATAAAAGCTTCGGATCAGAGTTCCAAACGAATCCTGGTTCGTTTAAAGTGGAGCAAATGTGCAGGTCTGAATACACCCTGAGATGCAGGATATCTCGTTGCGCTAACAGTTTTTATCCACAAGCTGTTATCAGTGTGAACAGAGCACTTTAATGATTTGCACTTGTTTTGAACTTTTTTAGTCGATCAATTTCACAGTGACTTTTGTTCACTGTTTTATTTGTTTTATTTTTGTCTTTGAATGTTGTTTTATGTCTGTATTTGTCTGTGCACACTGGAGACTCTTGCTAATGTATTCCAATGTGGTTTTTTTACTGCAAATGGCAAATAAACTGAATCTGAATCTGAAAAGCAACGAACTGCTAACAAAATATATAACTGAAAGATTACCACTAGTTCCACGTCCGAATGTAGTCCGAGGCAATCCGCACCAAGCCCGGGTGAACATAGCTAGCTTACATCATATCCTCTGGACAGACTGGTCTATGGGAGAGACCTGCGGGACTGCCTCGGACTATCTACGCTCGGACTATCTACGCTCGGACTTTCTACGCTCGGACTTTCTACGCTCGGACTATCTGTGCTCGGACTACATTTGGACTCAAAACTAGCGGTAATTTTTCAGTTATATATTTTGTTAGCAGTGCGTTACTTTTGTACCATTTCATCAGTGATTGTTGTACAAGAAGTTGTGCTTATGCTAATGTTTTAATAACAGCAGTATGTGTTCACGGAGCTGTGCCATACGTTTTTTCATATTATTAAACGGAATTTCCGCATCCTCGAACACACTCGAAGCAGTTGCATAAGGTCACAGGAGCATGACAACGCATATTTTCACAAGCACAGAGTCCCCCATGGTCAGCCCTGGTTTGAGTTCTGGTGAAGCCTGGTGTGGGTCCTGTTTTGGCTGTTTACGAGTATTTTCAGTCTGCCCAGTACGTCTGGAATTCAGTCGTTGACTTTATTTGTACAAACTGTCTTGGTTTTAGATTGTATCACTACCGTTCATGATGCTGCTGTAGCTGGTGAGATGGTAAACATGTGTCATTCAGCCAACTTCAGCTCTGTTATAGATCATTTTAAAGCTCAGAGCAGCCCGATGCCAGTTAAGGCAGATTTTTACTCCGTGACGTCGGCCCCTGGACTTGTCTGACGTATGTGGATACAAGGCTCTTTCAACACACGTTACAATATCAGTCTTTTTCTTTTTAGGTCAATATTTGTTGAGAATTTCAAAACAATAAAACATTATCAAAGCTAAAACTTTGTGCTCGTACCTCATCGGCCTGTAGCTCGTCCTTGTGGTAGAAGCCTCCGGTCAGAAGCTTCTTGCTGAAGGACACAATGTCAGCCGGGTCCTCCATGCCCCAGTGCTCGTGCGCCCAGAACTTCCCAGTGGCGCCCCCTCCTGTCTGTACCTCGTCCACGTGGAACGCACAGCCATGCTAGCAGCAGAAAAACACCGATCTGAGAGGACTCCCACAAACCAGGCTCAGACGGAGACAGAGCAGTCCCCAAGAATCTACACTTATGTACTTCCGAAGTTTGGCACTTTTCCAGAGGTCTCCCATCACAGTACTAACCAGCCCCTGTCCTGCTTAGCTTCAGAGGTCTGACAGGATCTGGCTTTCACATGCAGGTGGCAGAACTGCTGTGTAGGATTGAAACATGTCCTGAGCTTTTTATCTTTAAATTGAGTACAAATTTAAAGATTTTAAATAGTTAGCCGCTGCATGGCTTTAAAGATTACATTTATTTTCTTTTACTTTGAGGAATTACTTTAATCTCCAGAGTAGATTTACATTAAAACACAATTTTACTTAAGTACCAAAAAGTATTACTTTTGCCACCTCTGCAGATTATCAGGTTTAAAGTACAGTTGAAATCTCTCACTTCTATGTTCAGTCACCATTTTAGATGTTTCATGACACTTTGAAGCAACTGTGGTAAAAGTTAAACTCATCATTCTAACAATATGCACGAGGCAGTACTTTTCCACGACATGTTTTCTGAAGGCCAAACTACTGGCACCGCGGCGAATGCTGATTGGACGGTTTCCATTCCTCCATGCTTTGAAATATCACTTGCATTCTGTAACATCTTTGTTTGTGCTGTCTACCATCGACAATAAAACATGTCTCTTGTTAATCGACACGATCCCAGACAATTGTCATTTTCTTCACCAACCAGTCCTGAAAGTTGCTTGTTCATTTCAATGGGAAACAGTGGAGGTGTTCCCACAAGAACCACTGACTCTAATGCCACATCTATTCAGATGAGGAAAATGTCTTTATCCACCACAGGCGACGAGAGAGGGAGGCGGGATACGCAGAAGGTCTGTTTGTCCGAGTGTGATGTCTGTTTGTCCGAGTGTGAGGTCTGTTTGTCCGAGTGTGAGGTCTGTTTGTCCGAGTGTGAGGTCTGTTTGTCCGAGTGTGACGTCTGTTTGTGCGAGTGTGACGTCTGTTTGTGCGAGTGTGACGTCTGTTTGTGCGAGTGTGACGTCTGTTTGTGCGAGTGTGACGTCTGTTTGTGTGAGCGTGATGTCTGTTTGTCCAAGTGTGATGTCTGTTTGTCCGAGTGTGATGTCTGTTTGTGCGAGTGTGATGTCTGGTTGTGCGAGTGTGATGTCTGGTTGTCCGAGTGTGATGTCTGGTTGTCCGAGTGTGATGTCTGGTTGTCCGAGTGTGAGGTCTGTTTGTCCGAGTGTGAGGTCTGTTTGTCCGAGTGTGACGTCTGTTTGTGCGAGTGTGACGTCTGTTTGTGCGAGTGTGACGTCTGTTTGTGCGAGTGTGACGTCTGTTTGTGTGAGCGTGATGTCTGTTTGTCCAAGTGTGATGTCTGTTTGTCCGAGTGTGATGTCTGTTTGTGTGAGTGTGATGTCTGTTTGTGCGAGTGTGACGTCTGTTTGTGAGAGTGTGACGTCTGTTTGTGAGAGTGTGACGTCTGTTTGTCCGAGTGTGAGGTCTGGTTGTGTGAGTGTGATGTCTGTTTGTCCGAGTGTGACGTCTGTTTGTTCGAGTGTGATGTCGGTTTGTCCGAGTGTGATGTCTGTTTGTGTGAGTGTGATGTCTGTTTGTGCGAGTGTGATGTCTGTTTGTCCGAGTGTGATGTCTGTTTGTCCAAGTGTGATGTCTGTTTGTCCGAGTGTGATGTCTGTTTGTGCGAGTGTGGTGTCTGTTTGTCCGAGTGTGACGTCTGTTTGTGCGAGTGTGATGTCTGTTTGTGCGAGTGTGATGTCTGTTTGTCTGAGTGTGATGTCTGTTTGTCCAAATGTGACTTCTGTTTGTGTGAGTGTGATGTCTGTTTGTGCGAGTGTGATGTCTGTTTGTGTGAGTGTGATGTCTGTTTGTGCGAGTGTGACGTCTGTTTGTGCGAGTGTGATGTCTGTTTGTCCAAGTGTGATGTCTGTTTGTGCGAGTGTGATGTCTGTTTGTCCGAGTGTGATGTCTGTTTGTCCGAGTGTGATGTCTGTTTGTCCGAGTGTGATGTCTGTTTGTGCGAGTGTGATGTCTGTTTGTGCGAGTGTGATGTCTGTTTGTCTGAGAGTGATGTCTGTTTGTCTGAGTGTGATGTCTGTTTGTGCGAGTGTGATGTCTGTTTGTCCAAATGTGATGTCTGTCTGTGCGAGTGTGATGTCTGTTTGTCCGAGTGTGATGTCTGTTTGTCCAAGTGTGATGTCTGTTTGTGCGAGTGTGACGTCTGTTTGTCCAAGTGTGATGTCTGTTTGTGCGAGTGTGATGTCTGTTTGTGCGAGTGTGATGTCTGTTTGTGTGAGTGTGTAGTCTGTTTGTCCAAGTGTGATGTCTGTTCGTGCGAGTGTGATGTCTGTTTGTCCAAGTGTGATGTCTGTTTGTCCAAGTGTGATGTCTGTTTGTGCGAGTGTGATGTCTGTTTGTGCGAGTGTGATGTCTGTTTGTGCGAGTGTGATGTCTGTTTGTGCGAGTGTGATGTCTGTTTGTCCGAGTGTGATGTCTGTTTGTCCAAGTGTGATGTCTGTTTGTCCGAGTGTGATGTCTGTTTGTGCGAGTGTGGTGTCTGTTTGTCCGAGTGTGACGTCTGTTTGTGCGAGTGTGATGTCTGTTTGTGCGAGTGTGATGTCTGTTTGTCTGAGTGTGATGTCTGTTTGTCCAAATGTGACTTCTGTTTGTGTGAGTGTGATGTCTGTTTGTCCAAGTGTGATGTCTGTTTGTGCGAGTGTGATGTCTGTTTGTCCGAGTGTGATGTCTGTTTGTCCGAGTGTGATGTCTGTTTGTCCGAGTGTGATGTCTGTTTGTGCGAGTGTGATGTCTGTTTGTGCGAGTGTGATGTCTGTTTGTCTGAGAGTGATGTCTGTTTGTCTGAGTGTGATGTCTGTTTGTGCGAGTGTGATGTCTGTTTGTCCAAATGTGATGTCTGTCTGTGCGAGTGTGATGTCTGTTTGTCCGAGTGTGATGTCTGTTTGTCCAAGTGTGATGTCTATTTGTGCGAGTGTGACGTCTGTTTGTCCAAGTGTGATGTCTGTTTGTGCGAGTGTGATGTCTGTTTGTGCGAGTGTGATGTCTGTTTGTGTGAGTGTGTAGTCTGTTTGTCCAAGTGTGATGTCTGTTCGTGCGAGTGTGATGTCTGTTTGTCCAAGTGTGATGTCTGTTTGTCCAAGTGTGATGTCTGTTTGTGCGAGTGTGATGTCTGTTTGTGCGAGTGTGATGTCTGTTTGTGCGAGTGTGATGTCTGTTTGTGCGAGTGTGATGTCTGTTTGTCCGAGTGTGATGTCTGTTTGTGCGAGTGTGATGTCTGTTTGTGCGAGTGTGATGTCTGTTTGTGCGAGTGTGATGTCTGTTTGTCCGAGTGTGATGTCTGTTTGTCCGAGTGTGATGTCTGTTTGTGCGAGTGTGATGTCTGTTTGTCCGAGTGTGATGTCTGTTTGTGCGAATGTGATGTCCACTTGCGATGTCCCGGTCCGATCTCGAGATAGGGATCTGGACGTTTTTTAAATCTTTGTACCTTTCGTGCGATGTTCCTGAGGCTCTTGAAGAAGTCTGCAGAGGCGTGGTTGTCTCCGCCCTCGGCCTGGATGGGCTCGATCACGATGCCTGCCACGGGTCGACCCTTCTGCCTCCAGCGCACGATCAGGTCCTCCACCTACAACACAACAGTTAGAGCTGAGAACATCCAACAAATGCTAGATATTTGTCGTCGTGACAAAGGGAAAACATCCATTCTCTTCAGTATCGTGATATTTTGAGCACAGAATTAAATTGATACAGTAGAGAAAAGTATTGTGATAATAAAATCAATTATCTTTCAAGTTTGTCTTTCTTCAGAGTTTACGCTGTTAATTTCCATCTGAGGTTTATGTGACTCTAGGAAGTTTGCTTGTTGTGACTCTATGATGTCTGCTTGTTGTGACTCTATGACGTCTGCTTGTTGTGACTCTATGATGTCTGCTTGTTGTGACTCTGATGTCTGCTTGTTGTGACTCTATGACGTCTGCTTGTTGTGACTCTATGATGTCTGCTTGTTGTGACTCTATGACGTCTGCTTGTTGTGACTCTGATGTCTGCTTGTTGTGACTCTGATGTCTGCAGTTGTGACTATGATGTCTGCAGTTGTGACTCTATGATGTCTGCTTGTTGTGACTCTGATGTCTGCAGTTGTGACTATGATGTCTGCAGTTGTGACTCTATGATGTCTGCAGTTGTGACTCTATGATGTCTGCTTGTTGTGAATGTATGACGTCTGCTTGTTGTGATTCTGTGACGTCTGCTTGTTGTGATTCTATGACGTCTGCTTGTTGTGACTCTATGATGTCTGCTTGTTGTGACTATGACGTCTTCTTGTTGTGACTCTATGACGTCTGCTTGTTGTGACTCAATGATGTCTGCTTTATGTGACTCTAATGATGTCTGCTTGTTGTGACTCTGACGTCTGCAGTTGTGACTCTATGACGTCTGCTTGTTGTGACTCTATGACGTCTGCTTGTTGTGACTCTATGACGTCTGCTTGTTGTGACTCTATGACGTCTGCTTGTTGTGACTCTGACGTCTGCTTGTTGTGACTCTGTGATGTCTGCTTGTTGTGACTCTATGATGTCTGCTTGTTGTGACTCTATGACGTCTGCTTGTTGTGACTATGATTTCTGCAGTTGTGACTCTACGATGTCTGCAGTTGTGACTCTACGATGTCTGCTTGTTGTGACTATGATGTCTGCTCGTTGTGACTCTATGATGTCTGCTGTTGTGACTATGATGTCTGCTTGTTGTGACTCTATGATGTCTGCTTGTTGTGACTCTATGACGTCTGCTTGTTGTGACTATGATTTCTGCAGTTGTGACTCTACGATGTCTACAGTTGTGACTCTACGATGTCTGCTTGTTGTGACTATGACGTCTACTTGTTGTGACTCTATGACGTCTGCTGTTGTGACTATGATGTCTGCTTGTTGTGACTCTATGATGTCTGCTTGTTGTGACTCTATGACGTCTGCTTGTTGTGACTCTATGACGTCTGCTTGTTGTGACTCTATGACGTCTGCTTGTTGTGACTATGATTTCTGCAGTTGTGACTCTACGATGTCTGCAGTTGTGACTCTACGATGTCTGCTTGTTGTGACTATGATGTCTGCTCGTTGTGACTCTATGATGTCTGCTGTTGTGACTATGATGTCTGCTTGTTGTGACTCTATGATGTCTGCTTGTTGTGACTCTATGACGTCTGCTTGTTGTGACTATGATTTCTGCAGTTGTGACTCTACGATGTCTGCAGTTGTGACTCTACGATGTCTGCTTGTTGTGACTATGACGTCTACTTGTTGTGACTCTATGACGTCTGCTGTTGTGACTATGATGTCTGCTTGTTGTGACTCTATGATGTCTGCTTGTTGTGACTCTATGACGTCTGCTTGTTGTGACTATGACGTCTGCTTGTTGTGACTATGACGTCTGCTTGTTGTGACTCTATGACGTCTGCTTGTTGTGACTGATGTCTGCAGTTGTGACTCTATGATGCCTGCAGTTGTGACTCTATGATGTCTGCTTGTTGTGACTCTATGATGTCTGCTTGTTGTGACTCTATGATGTCTGCTTGTTGTGACTCTGATGTCTGCTTGTTGTGACTCTATGATGTCTGCAGTTGTGACTCTATGATGTCTGCTTGTTGTGACTCTATGATGCCTGCAGTTTGTGATGTCTGCTTGTTGTGACTCTGATGTCTGCAGTTGTGACTCTATGATGTCTGCAGTTGTGACTCTATGATGTCTGCTTGTTGTGAATGTATGACGTCTGCTTGTTGTGACTATGACGTCTGCTTGTTGTGATTCTATGACGTCTGCTTGTTGTGACTCTATGATGTCTGCTTGTTGTGACTCTATGACGTCTTCTTGTTGTGACTCTATGACGTCTGCTTGTTGTGACTCTATGACGTCTGCTTGTTGTGACTGATTTCTGCAGTTGTGACTCTACGATGTCTGCAGTTGTGACTATGACGTCTACTTGTTGTGACTCTATGACGTCTGCTGTTGTGACTATGATGTCTGCTTGTTGTGACTCTATGATGTCTGCTTGTTGTGACTCTATGACGTCTGCTTGTTGTGACTCTATGACGTCTGCTTGTTGTGACTATGACGTCTGCTTGTTGTGACTCTATGACGTCTGCTTGTTGTGACTGATGTCTGCAGTTGTGACTCTATGATGCCTGCAGTTGTGACTCTATGATGCCTGCAGTTGTGACTCTATGATGTCTGCTTGTTGTGACTCTATGATGTCTGCTTGTTGTGACTCTATGATGTCTGCTTGTTGTGACTCTGATGTCTGCTTGTTGTGACTCTATGATGTCTGCAGTTGTGACTCTATGATGTCTGCTTGTTGTGACTCTATGATGCCTGCAGTTGTGACTATGATGTCTGCTTGTTGTGACTCTGATGTCTGCAGTTGTGACTCTATGATGTCTGCAGTTGTGACTCTATGACGTCTTCTTGTTGTGACTCTATGACGTCTGCTTGTTGTGACTCTATGATGTCTGCTTGTTGTGACTCTATGACGTCTTCTTGTTGTGACTCTATGACGTCTGCTTGTTGTGACTCAATGACGTCTGCTTGTTGTGACTCTATGACGTCTGCTTGTTGTGACTATGATGTCTGCTTGTTGTGACTCTGATGTCTGCAGTTGTGACTCTATGACGTCTTCTTGTTGTGACTCTATGACGTCTGCTTGTTGTGACTCTGATGTCTGCTTGTTGTGACTCTGATGTCTGCAGTTGTGACTCTATGATGTCTGCTTGTTGTGACTCTGATGTCTGCTTGTTGTGACTCTATGATGTCTGCTTGTTGTGACTCTGATGTCTGCAGTTGTGACTCTATGACGTCTTCTTGTTGTGACTCTATGACGTCTGCTTGTTGTGACTCTGATGTCTGCTTGTTGTGACTCTATGATGTCTGCAGTTGTGACTCTATGATGTCTGCTTGTTGTGACTCTATGATGCCTGCAGTTGTGACTCTATGATGTCTGCTTGTTGTGACTCTGATGTCTGCAGTTGTGACTCTATGATGTCTGCAGTTGTGACTCTATGATGTCTGCAGTTGTGACTCTATGATGTCTGCAGTTGTGACTCTATGATGTCTGCTTGTTGTGAATGTATGACGTCTGCTTGTTGTGACTCTATGACGTCTGCTTGTTGTGATTCTATGACGTCTGCTTGTTGTGACTCTATGATGTCTGCTTGTTGTGACTATGACGTCTTCTTGTTGTGACTCTATGACGTCTGCTTGTTGTGACTCAATGATGTCTGCTTTATGTGACTCTATGTCTGCTTGTTGTGACTCTGACGTCTGCAGTTGTGACTCTATGACGTCTGCTTGTTGTGACTCTATGACGTCTGCTTGTTGTGACTCTATGACGTCTGCTTGTTGTGACTCTATGACGTCTGCTTGTTGTGACTCTGACGTCTGCTTGTTGTGACTCTGTGATGTCTGCTTGTTGTGACTCTATGATGTCTGCTTGTTGTGACTCTATGACGTCTGCTTGTTGTGACTCTATGACGTCTGCTTGTTGTGACTCTATGACGTCTGCTTGTTGTGACTATGACGTCTGCTTGTTGTGACTCTATGATGTCTGCTTGTTGTGACTCTGACGTCTGCTTGTTGTGACTCTATGATGTCTGCTTGTTGTGACTCTATGACGTCTGCTTGTTGTGACTCTATGACGTCTGCTTGTTGTGACTCTATGACGTCTGCTTGTTGTGACTCTATGACGTCTGCTTGTTGTGACTCTATGACGTCTGCTTGTTGTGACTGATGTCTGCTTGTTGTGACTCTATGACGTCTGCTTGTTGTGACTATGACGTCTGCTTGTTGTGACTATGACGTCTGCTTGTTGTGACTCTATGACGTCTGCTTGTTGTGACTCTGACGTCTGCTTGTTGTGACTATGACGTCTGCTTGTTGTGACTATGACGTCTGCTTGTTGTGACTCTATGACGTCTGCTTGTTGTGACTCTATGACGTCTGCAGTTGTGACTCTATGATGCCTGCAGTTGTGACTCTAAGATGTCTGCTTGTTGTGACTCTGATGTCTGCTTGTTGTGACTCTGATGTCTGCAGTTGTGACTCTATGATGTCTGCAGTTGTGACTCTATGATGTCTGCTTGTTGTGACTCTGATGTCTGCTTGTTGTGACTCTGATGTCTGCAGTTGTGACTCTATGATGTCTGCTTGTTGTGACTCTATGATGCCTGCAGTTGTGACTCTATGATGTCTGCTTGTTGTGACTCTGATGTCTGCAGTTGTGACTCTATGATGTCTGCTTGTTGTGAATGTATGACGTCTGCTTGTTGTGACTCTATGACGTCTGCTTGTTGTGATTCTATGACGTCTGCTTGTTGTGACTCTATGATGTCTGCTTGTTGTGACTCTATGACGTCTTCTTGTTGTGACTCAATGATGTCTGCTTTATGTGACTCAATGATGTCTGCTTTATGTGACTCTATGACGTCTGCTTGTTGTGACTCTATGACGTCTGCTTGTTGTGACTCTATGACGTCTGCTTGTTGTGACTCTATGACGTCTGCTTGTTGTGACTCTATGACGTCTGCTTGTTGTGACTCTATGACGTCTGCTTGTTGTGACTCTGTGATGTCTGCTTGTTGTGACTCTATGATGTCTGCTTGTTGTGACTCTATGATGTCTGCTTGTTGTTTTAGAGATTTTCTTTTAAATCTGAGAAAACAGTTCCTGATCTCAGCGTTTGATGGAAAATGGTTGGATTCAAACTGATAATGAACTAAAACCTGAGCAGCGTTGTTCGAACTGGGAAAGATGAACGGAGAAGAACCTAAATTATTAATAGCCGAGACTATTCCTGTCCCTACAGTCGGCTCCAGCCGCGAGCGCCTGATACAGACACAAAGGGTCTGAGGAAGAACCACAGACTGTAAATAATAACAGACGTTCATATTTACAGTCTATGGTTGTTGCAGCATGTCAGCGCACGTCATTTTGGACACTTTTGAGCTGGGACCCGCCCCACTGGGAATCCGCTAATATTCACTAGAGCAGTGTTTTTCAACCAGTGGGCTGCGGGACGTCAGTGAGCCTTGAGATATTGTTTGGTGTGTGGGGAAAAGTCCAATATCACATAATTGGTCAAAACAATATCTGCTTACACACAGACACACACACATACAGACACACAGACACACACATACAGACACAGACACACACAGTACCTCCTCCAGGCAGCGCGCCTCCTCTGCCGCGTTCTCTCGGGTGAACTCCTCCAGAGGATACTGCAGTTTGGGGAAAGGAGCGATGGGCCAGTCCATGGATGGGATGTCCAGTTTGTGGATGGCCTTGGAGTGAGTGGTGGCCAGACACCCTGTATGCACACGTACACACACACAAACACACACTTAACAACTGTCAGCTCTTGATGCCTTGCCGTGTGCACCTAACGGGTCTTATCCATCTGTAACTCCATGGTCATTTCCATGGATGTATTATATTAACTGGATAGGGTATTACTAGCTTGTAGCTGAATAACTCACGTGCTCAGGGGATTCTCGCGGTACTGCAGACTGAACCAGACTAAATTCACGTGGGCAACCCAGAAATTTTCCCCATAGAACTCAATGCATATTAAAACAGCTCAACCTCAGCTGACAGAGAACCTTCAGCTTTAATAAAGATCGGATTTTGTGGGGATTTTAGTGTCCCTTGTCATCCTGAACTTTTTTTCTTCTTAAATCCTTCGGTTTTGTTTAAATCCACACTTTAGTGCCACAAACTCTGCTCGTCTGGCTCTCGCTCTATCTCCCGCTCTGATGAACTGCTCTGATTGGTCAGAGCGCGGCCGAGCCCCTCTGTGCACGTGCGTGAGACCCGGTGTGAGACCCACACACGCGTGTTTGGCGCAACGCATTATGGGAGATCATCCACTGCACAGAACCGGGAGGACCAGACGATGCCCAAATACAGCCGAGTTTCCCAGAGATCTTTGCGAGTTTCAGGCGACTTCCGCTAATCTTTCAGCCCCCATGCCGTCACAAAGCGCCACTGAGCACAACCATTCATTTGAATAGGGCGCCATCTTGGATCGCCGGGGCTTGGTCATTTCCTACATGTACGTCTGGGTCTGGTCCTAGTGGCTGCAGGTTCCTCGGTAGAATCCCCTCCAACCAATCAGAGAGCAGGGGAGGCGGGTGTTGTAGGTCGGTGTCGGTGACGGCAAGAGTTTGTGCCGAATTTTTGCTGGTTGTAGTTTGTCGGAGAATGAGATAGTAAATCCAGTTCTCAGTACAAAATGAAATTCGTACGATGGTATGGTAAGACCAGGCTAATTTGGACACAGTCACTGAGTCTTCCTCCTCGGACTTAAGTTCTAGGTTTAATTATTTGAAAAGTTTATGTAATTCTTTGCTTGCCCAGAATAGGTCACTGTTTAGTTTCCAACTTTCTTTGTTTTATCATAACTGTAGTTTGTTTGTGTTGCTGCCACCTATTGGTCATTACATGTAAGCAGCTAAAGCCGCCATCTTGAGAGCAGCGCAGAGTTCACCTGAAAACCTCTCCTTTATGTGCCATTTTTACGCCCTTTTCCAGTCGTATCTTTGGCACGACATAATCTGTAAGTTACTTAAGTATGAATGTTGTACAGAACTTCATCAGTTTTTGATAATGAATGTTTACTGACTGCATGTATACATTGTTTTTCCTGTGTTAGCCGCTATGCTAATTTACATTGGTGCCAGTGCTGTTATTTACAGTCTATGGGTGTTAAGCAGTAATTAATGTGCAATAAGCAGTGTTGGGCACGTTACTTTGAAAAAGTAATTAGTTATAGTTACTAGTTACTTCTCCCAAAAAGTAACTGAGTTACTAACGGAGTTACTCCACTGTAAAAGTAACTAGTTACCAGTAAAAGTAACTATTGCGTTACTTTTTCGTTTTGTTCTGGAACATAATGTGCACTCGACGTGCGCATTTTTACCTTTAACCTCAGTGAGTCTGAAATAGTGCCAATATTTCCATCTAGAAAAGTCTGTTTTGCTGCTGAAGTCCTGTTCACTCTTCATCTGTCTCTGTGTAAGCACTAAACACCAACACCCGCCACTGTGAATGTGGAAACACCGGTGAAGCACTGACTTCAGTCCAATCAGATGAACATATACATCATATAAATCAAGTGGACCATTTGTTTGGCTACAGCAGAATACTTTTCATGCCCGCATTGTTTGTTCATACAAAACGCAAAACTAAGAGTTATGGGTCTTACCTTATAAATGACCTGCACAGACCACTTCGCTTCAGACCAGTTCCATGTTTAAGTCCAGATAATAGTTTGAGCGTAGATATGTAATCCTCCATTTGGAAATGAGTCCAATGAGTTTTAAAAAGTAAAACAAAACGCGTGTGTCCTCCATAAACTCCTCTGTTTTGCTGCAGCCGAGTGCATCCAATTTCTAAAACCAACGTCTTACACTTCACCTCTCTTTCTTATCATTCCTATAGTCATTGAAAAATTACCCTATGTGCATTTTAAATTATCTTAAATATGTTATATGTATGTTAGCCAAACCTGTTGCTGTCCTTAGCAGATAAACCAGGAAGAGCAATGAGCTTTCGATGGAATTGTATGCAGCCGACTTCTGCGCTCACATGCGCTCCTCTGAGGCTGGCCTCACGGTGATACAAGCCGTGGTTGAGTGTGATTAAGACCCATATTTGTTTCAAAAACACAATTTATGAGCCATCCTCTCAACTGTAGACATGTGGATTGTAAAGGAAATATGATTTACATCAGCCAATAATTGCTGAGAGGTTTTCTCATCCACCCTTCTCTCATGACAACACGCGCACGAGTCCTATCACGAAGTAAAAAGAGAAGTTCATTGTGCGTCTTGAGTAACGCGCAGTAACGGGATGTCGGAAATGATAACGGCGTTATAGTTACAGTCAAAGTAACTAGTTAGATTACTCGTTACTGAAAAAAGTAACGGCGTTACTAACGCCGTTACTAGTAACGCCGTTATTCCCATCACTGGCAATAAGACACATCTTTTTCATTTGATTTACATACATTTATGCACACACTAATGCGTGTTGTGCGTGTGTTTTGCAGTTTTACAAAATTATAAAAATTGGAAAGACACCCTTCCCATTTCATGTGTGTTAAGTGTTTGACAAACCTAGTCAGCGAGCTTAACTGAGGAAGATAGACCTTTATCTGTCCCTCAGTGGGGGAATGTTGACATAGTTGCAGACATGACAGCAGAATAGGAGAAATAAGACCACAGAGCTGTAATAGCACTTGTAAGGATGTCAGTTGTGGAGAACACACTAGTCAGCAGCATCAGGACGTTTCACATTTACAGATGTTGTACTTTAGCAGCAGAGAATATGACCAGATGAACAACAGTAATAACAGCAGCAGGTAAAGTGGCTAGCAATAAAAATAAGGTTCAAGGTGCCGGCTCCATGTTGAATATTCCAAAAAGGGCTACATACCCATGGTCCGTCCATGGAAGCCTCCCATGAAGGAGAGGATGCTGAGGTCGGGACAACCTGGTTCCTGCATAAAGAGGGTAAGAGGGTTATGGACCAGGGCAAGGGACATACACCTGTCTCAGTATACATGCAGACTCAGACCTCTCCTGTCTCAGTATACATGCAGACTCAGACCTCTGTCTCAGTATACATGCAGACTCAGACCTCTGTCTCAGTATACATGCAGACTCAGACCTCTCCTGTCTCAGGATGTATTCAGACCTGCACATTTGCTCCACTTTAAACGGACCAGGATTCGTTTGGAACTCTGATCCGAATCTTTTATGCAGGTCTGAATACACACAAACCGGGTCCGGACCAAAGAACCGAACCGAGACCCACTTTTTGAGGTGGTCTCGGTCCGCTTCCAAACGAATTCTGGTCCAAGTCAAATCAGGTCTGAATACATCCGGTGTCGATCCGACACAACTCCAAGATACGTGCGCATTTTTTGGGCTTAACAAGCCGCAGACAGAAACTGAGGAATTAGCCATGCAGCGGTTAACTATGATGCTAACTATGCTGCTAACTATGATGCTAACTATGATGCTAACTATGCTGCTAACTATGATGCTAACTATGATGCTAACTATGCTGCTAACGCTACACAACAACACTGAGCCGTGTGCAGACCTGGAGCAGTGAGGAGACGCTGTGCAACAGGCTTATGGAGTTACAACTGTTCACATTGATATTAATGGCAGCATCTTCAAACCATTTGCATTATTAAAAGCCTGACACTGTTTGACTCACGTCTCAAAGAGCAATATTCCACATCATGTAGTGAATTGTGTTCTTTGGTTCCTACCTGATCCTCAGCGTCTGTTTGTCCCGTGGTTATTATAGATCCATGGTTTATCCACGATGCTGAACAGGGCCGTTATTATAATAGATCCATGTGTGGGACAGGGCACGGAGCGCACAGACAGTCTCTTTCGGCTTTCTCCTCACGCATTCTCCGACTCTGTTCCAATATTTAAAACAAGGTGTTTGGCCTGTGTCATATGAGCTGCTGTTGATGTTGAAGGTGGTTTTGGTCTAAAAAGAGCAAACATAGGCAGAGCAGACATGCTGCACATACGAGCCCTCTGTTTTCCTCCGGTTCCGCGTCTATCCTCCAAGAGCTCTCACTGTCCAATAGGAGCCGATCGTCACACGTGTCAATATGTTTATATAAAAAAGTTCACTTGCAAAAAAGACAGTCTGAATACAAACCGGAGCAAAAGAAAAAAGTTTGGTCCGCTTTTGATTCGGATCAAACAAGCGGAGCAAAGGACTTTTCAGGTCTGAATACACCCTCAGTATACATGCAGACTCAGACCTCTGTCTCAGTATACATGCAGACTCAGACCTCTCTAGTCTCAGTATACATGCAGACCCAGACCTCTCAGACTGACCTTGTTGACAATGCAGGAGCTCAGTTCCTCCTCTGTGGGTTTGGGACTCGGTCCTCCACGTTCTTTGTTCTGTACACAACAGAAAACAGAGACAAGGATGAGGTTTATGTTGTGTAAATCTTTTGAAGTATTTTTCTGCCTGTGCTTGTTCAGACTGACCTCAGCTTTTACACGCCACGATGGTGAGTAGATTTTGCTTTGAATATTTGGTGTATTTTGTATATTGTGAATTACTGAACAACCATATAAACATAAAAGATCATAAACATTTTAATCTGTTCACTAAAATTTAACTTATCAATGTGTAAGTTTGAGCTGCTATAAAATAAAACAGATCCACCACATTTAAGTGACAAAAAATGATTTAAAATCAGTCAAAACTAGTTAATTATCTGAAATTAAATTATATGATTAACGAGACGACAGAATAAACAGATAATGGTTATGCACTGATGGAGGCAACAACACAGAGTCGACCAAACTCACTCTGTACCAGATGAACATGGCTTTGTAGGCGTTTTCATTGGAGCAGGATCCACAGGCCATAGTCTGCACCCGGGTCATCCCACTGGGGGCCACCTGCACACACACACACACACACAGACACACACACACACACAGACACACACACACACACATACCACAGACGCAACACACACACACAGACACACACACATACCACAGACGCAACACACACACACACACACAGACACACACATATACCACAGACGCAACACACACACACAGACACACACACACGCACACCGACCACAGACGCAACACACACACACAGACACACACACACACACGCATAACCACAGACGCAACACACACATACCACAGACGCACACACACACACACACACACACACACGCACACATACCACAGACGCAACACACACACACACACACACACAGACACACACACACGCATAACCACAGACGCAACACACACACACACACACACACGCACACATACCACAGACGCAACACACACACACACGCATAACCACAGACGCAACACACACATACCACAGACGCAACACACACACACACACAGACACACATACCACAGACGCAACACACACACGCATAACCACAGACGCAACACACACACACACAGACACACACACGCACACATACCACAGACGCAACACACACACACACCCAGACACACACACACGCATAACCACAGACGAAACACACACATACCACAGACGCAACACACACACACACACAGACACACACACACACACACGCACACATACCACAGACGCAACACACACACACACACAGACACACGCATAACCACAGACGCAACACACACAGACACACACACACACATACCACAGACGCAACACACACACACACAGACACACACACACGCATAACCACAGACGCAACACACACATACCACAGACGCAACACACACACACACAGACACACACACACGCATAACCACAGACGCAACACACACATACCACAGACGCAACACACACACAGACACGCACACACACACACACACACAGACGCACACACAGACACGCACACACAGACTCGCACACAGACACACATAACCACAGACGCAACACACACACACATACCACAGATGCAACACACACACACACAAACGCACACACAGACTCGCACACAGACACACACGCACACACACACACACACATAACCACAGACGCAACACACACAGACACACGCACACAGACACGCACACAGACACACACACACATACCACAGACGCAACACACACACACACACAGACACGCACACAGACACGCACACAGACACGCACACACAGACGCGCACACACACACAGACTCGCACACAGACACACACACACATAACCACAGACGCAACACACACAGACACACACGCAGACACAGACACACATACAGACACACACACATACATACAGACACACACACAAACATAGACGCACAAAAACATATACAGACAAAGACATATACACACACACACACACGCGCACAGACAGGACAGGTGCACATTCACACACATACATAAATACATACATACACACAGACACACGCACACACACACAGACACACACACACACACACAAACACAGACGCACACGTACCGACACAAACACACACGTACAGACAAACACACACACATACATACATACAGACACACAGACATGCACACACACACACACAAATACAGACACGCACACAAACAGACGCACACACACATACAGACAGACAAAGACACACACACACACACACACACACACACACACACACACACACACACACACATTCTTGTTATCCCCGGCAGAACACAGAGAGCTCAGGTGTGTATCGACACTCACCGTCAGCAGACTCTCGGTCACTTTGTCGGGGAAGTTTCCTGGAGGCAGGATCCCCAGAGCAGGACGGTTCACAAAGGTGCTCTGTGGGGACCAAAGGCTCAGTGACACACAACTCTAACTCATACAACACAGCTACACACAATGAAGTCATTTTGGAGGTCCTTTGTTCCTTCGGCTGTCAGACTGTACAACAAACCTGTATGAGTCTTCTGCCGCTGGACACCTGAATTTCTCCTGCGGGGATCAATAAAGTATCTATCTATCTATCTACCTGCGAGCTTCTGCAGTTGTCATGGTTTTGAGCATTTTATTAGATTTAGGAGAGTATATTTCAGCTCTACAGTGTCACGTGACCACGATGTAAGAAGAGAAACAAGAAATATTTCAACAAAAAGGATCGTTCAGACTGAGATTATAACTAAACAGAAATAATGGGAATATTACAAGCCAAACAGGAAGCCAGGACTGTTTGTCAAAATGGGCTTGTCCAGGTCCAGTCCTGGTCCAGTCATGGTCCAGTTGTGGTCCAGTCGTGGTCCAGTCGTGGTCCAGTCGTGGTCCAGTCGTGGTCCGGTTCTGTTCCGGTTCTGGTCCAGTCGTGGTCCAGTCATGGTCCAGTCGTGGTCCGGTCGTGGTCCGGTCGTGGTCCGGTCCTGGTCCGGTCCTGGTCCGGTCCTGGTCCAGTCCTGGTCCAGTCCTGGTCCAGTCCTGGTCCAGTCGTGGTCCAGTCGTGGTCCAGTCGTGGTCCAGTCCTGGTCCAGTCCTGGTCCAGTCATGGTCCGGTCGTGGTCCGGTCGTGGTCCGGTCGTGGTCCGGTCGTGGTCCGGTCCTGGTCCGGTCGTGGTCCAGTCGTGGTCCAGTCGTGGTCCAGTCGTGGTCCAGTCGTGGTCCAGTCCTGGTCCAGTCATGGTCCAGTCGTGGTCCAGTCGTGGTCCAGTCGTGGTCCAGTCGTGGTCCAGTCATGGTCCAGTCGTGGTCCAGTCGTGGTCCAGTCGTGGTCCAGTCGTGGTCCAGTCCTGTTCCGGTTCTGGTCCAGTACATAGAAAACCTGTTTTGTCTGGACTCAGTCACGTACAAAGTTGTGTGGGTCTAGCATCATCTTGTGCAGAGCGGGATGGTTGTATCCTGAAACACAGAGGACCAGAGTTTCAGACCTATTTTAACGTTTGTCTTTCTGGCCTGTTCTCACTCGGACTCACAGAGCAGTCAATTTGACGGCTTCTAGTTCTGGAAGTGTAATAACTCTGCTTATGCACAGTTAAGGTCTTTCTCTGTACTTTATCATTCTGTATCATTATCTTTAGGATGTTATTGTTTCTTTTTGAAATGTGAGGAGTTCTGTTTTTAACTCCCAGAGCCGTCATTCTGACTGCTCCATAAGATATGATTGTACTTTTCAAATTTAGCCATTTTTGGTCATTCTGCGACAGACCTTTTTCTCCAATGTTCTGGACTGGTTCTGGTCAAGCTTGGTTTTCCGCCAGAGAAGAGCAAGTGTTACCATAGCAACACACTATTTATATTACCACATATTCAAAGTGAGTAAAGGTAAAGAGAAAGTATTGGTGGAAAACGTACTCACTTTTTTGGGAGATTTTTTCAGAATTCTATTGATTTCATTGGGAGCCGTCAAAATGAATGCTCTGGTAAAAATAACTGAAAATAAAAAATAATTCTTACTCGCAAAAAATCCCAGTATATTTAGTATTATCTCAGTTCAAATATATGATTTTAACTGAAATTAGATCAAACAAAGCGGTCAAAGAACAGACCCCTGTGGTGCCCCAGGTTACGGATCAGGGGTCTCTAGAACTGTCACAAAACTGGGCTTTGTTTTGTAGACCGGGTTTAGTGTGTGATCGTGTTTTGTAGACCGGGTTTAGTGTGTGATCGTGTTTTGTAGACCGGGTTTAGTGTGTGATCGTGTTTTGTAGATCCCGGGTTTAGTGTGTGATCGTGTTTTGTAGATCCCGGGTTTAGTGTGTGATCGTGTTTTGTAGACCGGGTTTAGTGTGTGATCGTGTTTTGTAGACCGGGTTTAGTGTGTGATCGTGTTTTGTAGACCGGGTTTAGTGTGTGATCATGTTTTGTAGACCGGGTTTAGTGTGTGCTCATGTTTTGTAGACCGGGTTTAGTGTGAGATCGTGTTTTGTAGACCGGGTTTAGTGTGTGATCGTGTTTTGTAGACCGGGTTTAGTGTGAGATCGTGTTTTGTAGACCGGGTTTAGTGTGTGATCATGTTTTGTAGACCGGGTTTAGTGTGTGATCGTGTTTTGTAGACCGGGTTTAGTGTGTGCTCATGTTTTGTAGACCGGGTTTAGTGTGTGATCGTATTTTGTAGACCGGGTTTAGTGTGTGATCATGTTTTGTAGACCGGGTTTAGTGTGTGATCGTGTTTTGTAGACCGGGTTTAGTGTGTGATCATGTTTTGTAGACCGGGTTTAGTGTGTGATCATGTTTTGTAGACCGGGTTTAGTGTGTGATCATGTTTTGTAGACCGGGTTTAGTGTGTGATCATGTTTTGTAGACCGGGTTTAGTGTGTGATCATGTTTTGTAGACCGGGTTTAGTGTGTGCTCATGTTTTGTAGACCGGGTTTAGTGTGTTATCATGTTTTGTAGACCGGGTTTAGTGTGTGCTCATGTTTTGTAGACCGGGTTTAGTGTGTTATCATGTTTTGTAGACCGGGTTTAGTGTGTTATCATGTTTTGTAGACCGGGTTTAGTGTGTTATCATGTTTTGTAGACCGGGTTTAGTGTGTGATCATGTTTTGTAGACCGGGTTTAGTGTGTGATCATGTTTTGTAGACCGGGTTTAGTGTGTGCTCATGTTTTGTAGACCGGGTTTAGTGTGTTATCATGTTTTGTAGACCGGGTTTAGTGTGTGCTCATGTTTTGTAGACCGGGTTTAGTGTGTGATCATGTTTTGTAGACCGGGTTTAGTGTGTTATCATGTTTTTTAGACTGGGTTTAGTGTGTGCTCATGTTTTGTAGATCGGTTTTAGTGTGTTATCATGTTTTGTAGACCGGTTTTAGTGTGTGCTCATGTTTTGTAGACCGGGTTTAGTGTGTGATCATGTTTTGTAGACCGGTTTTAGTGTGTTATCATGTTTTGTAGACCGGGTTTAGTGTGTGATCATGTTTTGTAGACCGGGTTTAGTGTGTGCTCATGTTTTGTAGACCGGGTTTAGTGTGTGATCATGTTTTGTAGACCGGGTTTAGTGTGTTATCATGTTTTGTAGACCGGGTTTAGTGTGTTATCATGTTTTGTAGACCGGGTTTAGTGTGTTATCATGTTTTGTAGACCGGGTTTAGTGTGTTATCATGCTTTGTAGACCGGGTTTAGTGTGTGATCATGTTTTGTAGACCGGGTTTAGTGTGTGATCATGTTTTGTAGACCGGGTTTAGTGTGTTATCATGTTTTGTAGACCGGGTTTAGTGTGTGATCATGTTTTGTAGACCGGGTTTAGTGTGTGATCATGTTGTACTTGTTGCGTTAAGGGTTCAATGTTTACGATAAAATAAATGCAGACTGAGTGGGAGCAGCGCTGATGAAAAACTTTGATAAAAACAATAATAAACATTCATTCATTGTTTATACTTTCATGTTTTATAGTGACTTTTTTACATTCAAAACATAATTATTCATTCACTCCCTACACAGTGGTGATGAACGACTACTGTAGCCACAGCTGCCCTGAGGCACACTGCCCCTCCCACCACCACCGACCATTCACACACACACCAGACTCATTCTAATGTGGGGGAAGTGTCTTGCTTAAGGATACTGGGTTGAACTGGTGTCAGGGTTGATGGTGTCAGGGTTGATGGTGTCTGGGTGGATGATGTCTACAGTAGGTTGGAACTTGTGTCTGGGTTGATGGTGTCTGGGATGATGGTGTCTGGGATGATGGTGTCTGGGATGATGGTGTCTGGGATGATGGTGTCTGGGATGATGGTGTCTGGGATGATGGTGTCTGGGTTGATGGTGTCTGGGTTGAAGGTGTCTGGGATGATGGTGTCTGGGATGATGGTGTCTGGGTTGATGGTGTCTGGGTTGATGGTGTCTGGGTTGATGGTGTCTGGATTGATGGTGTCAGGCTGGATGGTGTCTGGATTGATGTTTGAGGGTTGATGGTGTCACTGGTGTCTGGGTTGATGGTGTGAGGGTTGAAGGTGTCTGGGATGATGGTGTCTGGGATGATGGTGTCTGGGATGATGGTGTCTGGGATGATGGTGTCTGGGATGATGGTGTCTGGGATGATGGTGTCTGGGATGATGGTGTCTGGGATGATGGTGTCTGGGATGATGGTATCTGGGATGATGGTATCTGGGTTGATGGTGTCTGGATTGATGGTGTCAGGCTGGATGGTGTCAGGCTGGATGGTGTCTGGGTTGATGTTTGAGGGTTGATGGTGTCACTGGTGTCTGGGTTGATGGTGTGAGGGTTGATGGTGTGAGGGTTGATGGTGTCTGGGTTGATGGTGTGAGGGTTGATGGTGTCTGGGTTGATGGTGTCTGGGTTGATGGTGTCTGGGTTGATGGTGTGAGGGTTGAAGGTGTCTGGGTTGATGGTGTCTGGGTTGATGGTGTCTGGATTGATGGTGTCAGGCTGGATGGTGTCAGGCTGGATGGTGTCTGGGTTGATGTTTGAGGGTTGATGGTGTCACTGGTGTCTGGGTTGATGGTGTGAGGGTTGATGGTGTGAGGGTTGATGGTGTCTGGGTTGATGGTGTCTGGGTTGATGGTGTCTGGGTTGATGGTGTCTGGGTTGATGGTGTCTGGGTTGATGGTGTCTGGGTTGAAGGTGTCTGGGTTGATGGTGTCTGGGTTGATGGTGTCTGGGTTGATGGTGTGAGGTATGAAGGTGTCTGGGTTGATGGTGTGAGGGTTGATGGTGTCTGGGATGATGGTGTCTGGGTTGATGGTGTCTAGGCGAGTCCAGGACGGACCAATGGGGATGGAGGAGATCTGAGTGTACACGTCCAGCATGCGGTTCCCGTCCACGTCCACCAGGTAGTTCCCACGGCTCTCGTCGTAGTTACAGAAGAAGTTAACGGCTGCGACGTTCTGCAGAGACACAGAGAAACACAGAGAGCTCACAGAGAGACCACAGAGTCACACAGAGAGACCACAGAGAGACCCCAGAGACCACAGAGAGACCACAGTCACACAGAGATCACAGAGAGTCACACAGAGAGACCACAGAGAGACCCCAGAAACCCCAGAGACCACAGAGAGACCACAGAGTCACACAGAGAGACCACAGAGAGACCCCAGAGACCACAGAGAGACCACAGTCACACAGAGAGATCACAGAGAGTCACACAGAGAGACCACAGAGAGACCCCAGAAACCCCAGAGACCACAGAGTCACACAGAGAGACCCCAGAGACCACAGAGAGACCCCAGAGACCACAGAGAGACCACAGAGTCACACAGAGAGATCACAGAGAGACCACAGAGACCACAGAGAGACCACAGAGAGACCCCAGAGAGACCACAGAGAGACCACCGAGTCACACAGAGAGACCCCAGAGACCACAGAGAGACCACAGAGAGACCACAGAGTCACACAGAGAGACCACAGAGAGTCACACAGAGAGACCACAGAGAGACCCCAGAGAGACCACAGAGTCACACAGAGAGACCACAGAGAGACCACAGAGAGTCACACAGAGAGACCACAGAGTCACACAGAGAGACCACAGAGTCACACAGAGAGACCACAGAGAGACCACAGAGAGTCACACAGAGAGACCACAGAGAGACCCCAGAGAGACCACAGAGTCACACAGAGAGACCACAGAGAGACCACAGAGAGTCACACAGAGAGACCACAGAGAGACCCCAGAGAGACCCCAGAGAGACCACAGAGAGACCACAGAGTCACACAGAGACTACAGAACTGTTTTGAAACCAGGATTTGAACATTGTCAAGGAAAAAATCTGTCTCACAATTTTCAGGAAGACTGTTCAATATTTTAGTTGCATAAATCTGAAATAAGATTTAGGTCAGTCCCTGTGCTCCTCAGAGTCCCCGCAGGAGGCCAGTCCCTGTGCTCCTCAGAGTCCCCGCAGGAGGCCAGTCCCTGTGCTCCTCAGAGTCCCCGCAGGAGGCCAGTCCCTGTGCTCCTCAGAGTCCCCGCAGGAGGCCAGTCCCTGTGCTCCTCAGAGTCCCCGCAGGAGGCCAGTCCCTGTGCTCCTCAGAGTTGGTTCATATGGCCCTAACATGTCACAGAGTCCATAGAGAATTGAACACATATTATTATTTAATCATAAATAATGAATGACATTTGTCCCATTTGTTTGATATTTGCAAAAGTAAAATGTTGTGAACAAACTGGACCACAATACACGGTCATGAAATATTTGCATATTTGTAAAAAAAAAAAAAAAAAAGAAGAAAGAAGTCACTATTTGAGTTTCTGGGCTGAGAGCTGATTGGTTGAGTGAAGGAGGTCTCTCTCTTTTTTCACGTTTCTGTCTGAAAGAGTAGATTGAGATGTGACAGAAGCCGAGAACACACTTTAAAATCCGCCGCAGTATTTTCTGAACGTACCATCAGCGTAACAAGGACCATAAATAATAATACCATTTATTTATAGCTGGTGTTTTCTGGTGACATCCTTTGACAATAACAAGTTACATGTTGCTGGTCATAAACTTCTGAGAAAGTCACCGCCGCGGCTCCTATCTGCCGTCCTATCATTTCACTGTCAGGTTGATCAACGAGGCAAGAGTTCAAACTGCTTGGAACTGGAATCTTCACATATTTGGTGTAAAGGCCCAGACTGAAGAGTGTTGATGTTAAAGTTACAAATATTATATCGTTTTTTTGGTTAAAAGGTGAAATAGACTGTTTTAGTAATGGTCAACAAATGTAACCTGTATTCAACATGTGAGACTAGAGAGAGACCAGAGAGAGAGACCAGAGAGGGACCAGAGAGAGACCAGAGAGAGAGACCAGAGAGAGAGACCAGAGAGGGACCAGAGAGACCAGAGAGAGACCAGACAGAGAGACCAGAGAGAGACCAGAGAGAGAGACCAGAGAGAGAGACCAGAGAGGGACCAGAGAGAGAGACCAGAGAGGGACCAGAGAGGGACCAGAGAGAGAGACCAGAGAGAGACCAGAGAGAGACCAGAGAGAGAGACCAGAGAGGGACCAGAGAGAGAGACCAGAGAGGGACCAGAGAGGAAGACCAGAGAGAGACCAGAGAGACCAGAGAGAGACCAGACAGAGAGACCAGAGAGAGAGACCAGAGAGAGACCAAAGAGAGACCAGAGAGAGACCAGAGAGAGACCAGAGAGAGACCAGAGAGAGAGACCAGAGAGAGAGACCAGAGAGAGAGACCAGAGAGAGAGACCAGAGAGAGACCAGAGAGAGAGCCGAGTGAGACCGGAGAAGAAGCCTGTGTCACATTTTAGCTGCTTAAATTTGAAACGAGAGGCCAGTCCCTGTGCTCCTCAGAGTCCCAGCAGGAGTCCAGTCCCTGTGCTCCTCAGAGTCCCAGCAGGAGGCCAGTCCCTGTGCTCCTCAGAGCATTGGGCAAAACAAAGGTGTTGATCGTCTGTTAATATAAAACAGTTTGTGACGATTATCAAATCCTTATCCACTCTGGTGATTATACATTATCTAATCTACAAATGAATAGTTCCTCTGCAAAAACAGAGTGGACTGGAAACATTTGAATGGCTTACAATTTTTAAGTAGTTATTTGTAAAGCCAGTCATAGTTTAATGCCATGTCACCCCTTCCTCAACTAATCCTTTCAAATGTACTGCCAGAAACAAAAAAGTTGAAGATTGTAGTGAGAGGGACACGACTTTTTCATACATTTTCCAGACGGAGATATTTGGTTTTTGCAAATTCCTCTTCAATTGGTTCCTTTCTGCAGGTGTGTACCCATGTGATCCAACTTTAGTGATTTCATGTCTTCCCCAATGACCTTTACCCGACCGACAGAGAAAACATCTGAAATGGCTGTAGCTGCTTAGACCATCTCTGCATGGACTAGAGGCCGCCCCCGGTACTGCAGCTTTTATTATACACTTGACTCACAGACTCAAAGGGCTGGAGACTCAAAGGGCTGGGGACTCAAAGGGCTGGAGACTCAAAGGGCTGGGGACTCAAAGGGCTGGGGACTCAAAGGGCTGGGGACTCAAAGGGCAGGAGACTCAAAGGGCTGGAGACTCAAAGGGCTGGAGACTCAAAGGGCTGGAGACTCAAAGGGCTGGAGACTCAAAGGGCTGGAGATTCAAAGGACTGGAGACTCAAAGGGCTGGAGACTCAAAGGGCTGGAGACTCAAAGGGCTGGAGACTCAAAGGGCTGGACACTCAAAGGGCTGGGGACTCAAAGGGCTGGAGACTCAAAGGGCTGGGGACTCAAAAGTAAAGCCTTGTTTTGACAATCCCCATTTTACTTTAATAGTATTTGTTCCTTTTGCACCTGTGATCTGCTGCTTTGACGGCACTTTGTTGTAAATAATTACTCATGAACTAAAACATACTTCCTCATGTGGCCAAAAGAAAACCAGTCTTACCTGGATCTCTCCCAGCTGCTTGACCAGCTCCTGCAGAACAAACAGGGCAAGTTTAATTGTATAGATCAACTCATAGTGTCCCAGGGTGAGAGAGGAGGGGGTGAAGCAGTCCCAGGGTGAGAGAGGAGGGGGTGAAGCAGTCCCAGGGTCAGAGAGGAGGGGGTGAGACAGTCTCTGGGTGAGAGAGGAGGGGGTGAAGCAGTCCCAGGGTGAGAGAGGAGGGGGTGAGACAGTCCCAGGGTGCGAGAGGAGGGGGTGAGACAGTCCCAGGGTGCGAGAGGAGGGGGTGAGACAGTCCCAGGGTGAGAGAGGAGGGGGTGAGACAGTCCCAGGGTGAGAGAGGAGGGGGTGAAGCAGTCCCAGGGTGAGAGAGGAGGGGGTGAGACAGTCCCTGGGTGAGAGAGGAAGGGGTGAGACAGTCCCAGTGTGAGAGAGGAGGGGGTGAGACAGTCCCAGGGTGAGAGAGGAGGGGGTGAGACAGTCCCAGTGTGAGAGAGAGGAGAGGGCGAGGCAGTCCCAGGGTGAGAGAGGAGGGGGTGAGACAGTCCCAGTGTCAGAGAGGAGAGGGCGAGGCAGTCCCAGGGTGAGAGAGGAGAGGGTGAGGCAGCCCCAGTGTGAGAGAGGAGGGGGTGAGACAGTCCCAGGGTGAGAGAGGAGGGGGTGAAGCAGTCCCAGGGTGAGAGAGGAGGGGGTGAGACAGTCCCAGGGTGAGAGAGGAGGGGGGTGAGACAGTCCCAGGGTGCGAGAGGAGGGGGTGAGACAGTCCCAGGGTGAGAGAGGAGGGGGTGAGACAGTCCCTGGGTGAGAGAGGAAGGGGTGAGACAGTCCCAGTGTGAGAGGAGGGGGTGAGACAGTCCCAGGGTGAGAGAGGAGGGGGTGAGACAGTCCCAGGGTGCGAGAGGAGGGGGTGAGACAGTCCCAGGGTGAGAGAGGAGGGGGTGAGACAGTCCCAGGGTGAGAGAGGAGGGGGTGAAGCAGTCCCAGGGTGAGAGAGGAGGGGGTGAGACAGTCCCTGGGTGAGAGAGGAAGGGGTGAGACAGTCCCAGTGTGAGAGGAGGGGGTGAGACAGTCCCAGGGTGAGAGAGGAGGGGGTGAGACAGTCCCAGGGTGAGAGAGGAGGGGGTGAGACAGTCCCAGGGTGAGAGAGGAGGAGGGTGGGAGCAGTGTCCCAGGGTGAGAGAGGAGGGGGTGAAGCAGTCCCAGGGTGAGAGAGGAGGGGGTGAGACAGTCCCTGGGTGAGAGAGGAAGGGGTGAGACAGTCCCAGTGTGAGAGAGGAGGGGGTGAGACAGTCCCAGGGTGAGAGAGGAGGGGGTGAAGCAGTCCCAGGGTGAGAGAGGAGGGGGTGAGACAGTCCCTGGGTGAGAGAGGAGGGGGTGAAGCAGTCCCAGGGTGAGAGAGGAGGGGGTGAGACAGTCCCAGGGTGAGACAGTCCCAGGGTGAGAGAGGAGGGGGTGAAGCAGTCCCAGGGTGAGAGAGGAGGGGGTGAAGCAGTCCCAGGGTGAGAGAGGAGGGGGTGAAGCAGTCCCAGGGTGAGAGAGGAGAGGGTGAGACAGTCCCAGTGTGAGAGAGGAGAGGGTGAGGCAGCCCCAGTGTGAGAGAGGAGAGGGTGAGACAGTCCCAGTGTGAGAGAGGAGGGGGTGAGACAGTTCTAGTGTGAGAGAGGAGAGGGTGAGACAGTCCCAGTGTGAGAGAGGAGGGGGTGAGACAGTCCCAGGGTGAGAGAGGAGGGGGTGAGACAGTCCCAGGGTGAGAGAGGAGGGGGGAGTGACCTGGGAGCGGGGCCCGGGGACAGCGGTCTTCATGGAGGGCCCATCGTAGTCCCAGTCCATCTGAGCCTGAGGGGCCGCCTTGCTCACATGTCTGCAGCCTGCAACACGCACAAACACACACACACACATACACATACATGAGAGACACACACACACACGAGAGACACAAACGCACACAAACAAGAGAGTAATTAAGTAAGTTCTTTATTCATATAGCGCTTTCACAATTGTTTCAAGACACACACACATACACACACACAGACACACAAAGAGACAGAGACAGATACAAACACACACAGATAAACACACACACAAAAACACAGAGACAGACAAAAATACAGACACTTACATACACAGACACACAAAGAGACACAGACAGACACACACATTATTTGTTTGTCTTCACATGTGTGTGTCCTCATAACCCACAGTGTGCACAAACACACTCTGAGGGTTTACAGCCGAGCTCAAAGTGCAGCGTGTGGGACCGGATCAGACCAGACCAGACCGGACCAGACTGGACTCTCTCAAACATTGACACCGCTGTGAGCCACAACAATGTGTGTGATATTGTGAATGAAGTGTGCGTCTGTCTCCTCACAGCCTGTTCTCGGCGCACATTCACCTCCTCACACTGTGTGTGTCAACTTTTTAGTAAAAAAGTGCAAAAGGCGACTGCTTTGTTCTCATTGGATAATACTAATGGAAAGTTTAATCAATAAATCTTTATTTGTAAAACACATTGAAAACATTTACCAAAGTGTTGTACAGACTAGTTGAAAACAACAACAATAAAAACACAAAAAATACAGAAAAATATATATTTATACTGAAAAATTCTCTGCTTCTCTGGTGTAAAAGCCGAAGAGAAAAGGTCAGTCTAAAGTTCCACAAAGTGCTAGAAAAAGTGTGTTTGTAAAGTGCTTTTGTGTAACAGTCACAGCAGTGAGCCACGGGTCAAACTACTGCCCTCTGCCCACGGACGGACGGACACAGACAGACACAGAGACACAGACAGACACAGAGACACAGACAGACAGACAGACACACACACACACACAGAGACACAGACAGACACAGAGACACAGACAGACAGACAGACACACACACACACAGAGACACAGACAGACACAGAGACACAGACAGACAGACAGACACACACACACACAGAGACACAGACAGACAGACACACACACACACACACACACAGAGACACAGAGACACAGACAGACACAGAGACACAGACAGACAGACACAGACAGACACAGAGACACAGACAGACACACAGAGACACAGACACACACACACACACAGAGACACAGACAGACACAGACAGACACAGACACAGAGACACAGACACAGACAGACACAGACACAGACAGACACAGAGACACAGACAGACAGACACAGACAGACACAGAGACACAGACAGACACACAGAGACACAGACACACACACACACACAGAGACACAGACAGACACAGACAGACACAGACACAGAGACACAGACACAGACAGACACAGAGACACAGACAGACACACAGAGACACAGACAGACAGACACAGACAGACACAGAGACACAGACAGACACACAGAGACACAGACACACACACACACACAGAGACACAGACAGACACAGAGACACAGACAGACACAGACAGACACAGAGACACAGACAGACACAGAGACACAGACAGACAGACAGACACACACACACACAGAGACACAGACAGACACAGAGACACAGACAGACACAGAGACACAGACAGACACAGAGACACAGACAGACACAGAGACACAGACAGACACAGACACAGACAGACACAGACAGACACACAGAGACACACACACAGAGACACAGACAGACACAGAGACACAGACAGACACACAGAGACACAGACAGACACACAGGGACACAGACAGACACAGAGACACAGACAGACACACAGAGACACAGACAGACACACACACACACACACACACACACACACACACAGAGACACACACACACACACACACACACACCCACACACAGAGACAGACAGACACACACACACACACACACACACTAGAGCCATATGTGGACTTTTGTGACACAATCAAAACAAATGTCTTCATTGTGATTTGCAAGACCCACAGAACATTGTGTGCTGTGACTGAAATATGAAACCAGATTCTGAAAGACTGTCTACTTTCAGTAATCGGCTGATTAATCCGTCAATTGAAAAATAAATCCTTTTGTCAAAGTGAATTGGATTCCAAAGGATCAGATAAAGCATGATCTACAATTAAAAGTGCCTTGTATTGAGGTTGCTATTTCTTTAACAAACTGTAAAAAAAAAAACAAACACATTTCAAAAACGCTTCACATGAAGTAAGCATGATGTAAGCATGAAGTAAGCATGATGTAAGCACGATGTAAGCATGAAGTAAGCATGATTTAAGGATGATGTAAGCATGATGTAAGCACAATGTAAGCATGATGTAAGCATAAAGTATGCAGGATGTAAGCATGAAGTAAGCATGAAGTAAGCAGGATGTAAGCATGAAGTAAGCATGATGTAAGCATGAAGTAAGTATGTGACTTTAAAATGTGATATAAAGTCCAAATGTCAAACTCTGATGACGAGAGCAGAAAGAACCTTTACTTTGTACACAATTGTCTTGAGTGTGTGTGTGTGTACCTTTGAGAGAGAAGCGCAGGCTGTGCAGGGACAGGACCATCTGACGCTTCAGCAGAAGGGTCGCCATGGTGACGACTGTAGGAGCACACTACACCTGAGGACACAGAGGTCAGAGGTCACATGCCACACATTCTCCTTTCATTGGGGTCAAGACCATAGACTGTAAATAATAACAAACGTAGTCACGCCTGTCTCCATCGTTCAAACTAATGTGCCATTACTTTTACCTTCTGTGGCTTCTTCAAAATGGCCGCAGGGGCTGGACATTGTGAAAAACACATTTGTGCATGTGTTAGCTGTATTTAGCCCCATTCATTTAACAAGTGCATTCAAAAGTCCACAGCAGCTAAACTAGACTGGTCCAAAACAAAATACTCTCAGCATGGACAGCATCTGGAACGTAGCTTTGAACCAAGAGCGAGTTTTGGACCATTCTGTAAAGACCGTTTTTGAGAGGTAAGAAGACGCCATACGAAAGCATTGGGTAATTCTCTTTCCGTGTACACCCCCACAGACCCAGAGTGAGATTGCAGTATGTCAGCGCAAGTGCTCATGGACCTTTTATAGCCGTGACCCGCACCACTGGACAGGACTTAAGACCAGGACGACACTGGGCCTTTCTGAGGCTCAGTCTGCGGATAGGGCTAACCCATAGACTGTATTTATTAACGGACGTATCACGTCTATCTCCGCCTTTCTAACTAATGGGCCAAAAAATGTCTCTACTGGAGCTATCCAAAATGGCCGCGAGTGGTCCCGCACACAAGAAAATAGTGAAAAAACGCATCTGCGCATGCGTCAGCCGGCGAGAGCTCCATTCATTTGAAGTCACACCAGTGACTTCAAAAATTCACAGCGACTAAACTAGACTGGTCCAGAACACTCAGCATTGACACACATGTGGAACGGAGCTTTGGGCCAAGAGCCAACTTTTGACGTTTTTGAGAGGTCTGCCAATGCTATATGTTAGCATTGGCTAATTCTACTTCTGGGTCCACCCCCATCAGCCCGGGGTGGTATTGCAAGCATGTCAGCGCACAACATTTTGGACATTTTTGAGCCGGGACCCGCCCCCACTGGGCTAACCCGTTTCCCACAGACGTTGGAGGAGGTCACATGACCCACAAAAACAACACAATCTAAAATGAATCACAAAAGAAAATGAATTCTATCTAATTTCAAAAACTCACATGGATTTACACAACCTCAAGTCTCAGTCTGACGTGTGGAGAAAACTGCAAATGAGAAATGTCCAGGATCTGCACCTCCTCATGTGCTGGGTCCAGACCACAGTCCAGGACCCAGCTCCCTCCAGACCACAGTCCAGGACCCAGCTCCCTCTAGACCACAGTCCAGGACCCCAGCTCCCTCTAGACCACAGTCCAGGACCCCAGCTCCCTCCAGACCACAGTCCAGGACCCCAGCTCCCTCCAGACCACAGTCCAGGACCCAGCTCCCTCCAGACCACAGTCCAGGACCCCAGCTCCCTCTAGACCACAGTCCAGGACAGTAAAGTGCTCCCCCTCCTCCACATAAACGCTCGTCTGTGTCTCGTCTCAGACTTGATCCCATTTTCACTCTGTCGTGTTTTGTCCTGGAGCCCTGACACTCCATGTGTGACATCACTTTGCATTACTGCCACCGCTGTCAGCTGGACACTCTCCGCTCCCAGCGCATTCTCACATCACACACACACACGCACACACACACACACACACACACTGCCTTTTTTGACTCTAAGACGCTTTCCATTATTATTCATTCACTCCATACACAGTGGTGATGAACTACACATCTGCCCTGGGGCACACTACAGAAACAAGGCAACCAGTCTGTGCCACCGGCCCCTCTCACCACCACCAACCATTCAGACACACACACACACAAATATGCTTTCCAATATAAAGCTCCAAACGACTGGAATCTCCTTCCGGCCTCTATTCGCTCCTTAACCTCTTTTTAAAGCTGGTGTATTAAAGCATCTGTGTAATGTTTGTAACTGCTGCTGAACTTTCTTTGGTTTGGTTTTCACTGTCCTAGTTTGAGGAGTAGGGTGACCTCTGACCTCTGAGAGCTTTGTGTGTGTGTGTGAGTGAAAGTTTCTGTCCTTGTATTTATTTATTTATTTTTTGTCTGTTATTTTATTGAATTTATTTACTGTAACTTGTTCTGTTTTCTATTTGTTACATTATACTGTAACTGCATTTATTTGACAACCGCTGCTGCTACTTGTGTTGCTAATTTTAAGGACCCTCCTGAAAACGAGATGATGCATCTCAAGAGGCTATTCCTCGTAATAAAGATATGTCAGAGACACACCTCACACCAGACAATGTGGGTGAAGTGTCTATGCCTAAGAAAACAAAACTTTGGCACTTTACAGCCGCCCTAATGTGGCACCTGGTGTTCCCAGAGGTCTCCCATCACAGTACTGACCAGGCCCTGCCCTGCTTTGCTTCAGAGGTCTGCCTGGTCTGGGCCACAATAGCTCAAAACCATGGACAGAGTCAGAGAGTCGTGAAAGCAGTGCTGACACGCAGAGGCATCAGAAGTCCATATGCCCGACACAGTGGACCACCTCTAGGGGCGACAGTGTCTCAGATGGTAGAGCATTGGCCTTTGAGCCAGAAGGTTGTAGGTTCGAGCCCACCTCAAGAGTTTTTCCATCGACTCCCACTGTCTGCTGTCATTGTGTCCTTGGGCAAGACACTTAACCCCTGGGAACACCAGGTGCCACAGTGCGGCTGTAAAGTGCCGAACTGCCTTTGTGTCCTTAGGCAAGACACTTCACCCCCATTGCCTAGAATGAGTCTGGTGTGTGTGTGTGAATGGTTGGTGGTGGTCGGAGGGGCCGATGGCACAGACTGGTTGCCTCTCTTCTGTCAGTGTGCCCCAGGGCAGCTGTGGCTACAGTAGTAGTGAATGAATAATGTGAAGCGTCTTTGAGTGTCCAAAAAAGCACTGTATAAAAGCGATGCATACTTATTCACTCTGGGGCAGCAGCAGTCTCCGGTCATAACTGGCAAAAACCGGTTCCAAATCAGTCCACAGCAGCATCGATTTTTAACTGTTTTTTTGATTTTCAGATGTGTAAAAACTGTGTAGCACAAATACTGACTGAGATTCAGGCTGGACTTTTCATGTGGCCAACTTTAGGCATTGTTCTATATTTGTGCGTCTAATCAGCATCTTGAAAAAAGGGTCCAAGTCTTCCGTAACTCCATCCCTCTCTCCTCTCTCCCTCTCTCCTCACTCAGTCAGTCTCAGTCTTCTGTAACTCCATCCCTCCCTCCCTCATCCATCCCTCCCTCTCTCCTCTCTCCTCACTCAGTCACAGTCTCAGGCTTGTGTAACTCAGCCAGTCTGAGCCAGTTCACCATGTTGCCAAGAAACAGAGCGAGCGGCTGTGTGCATCCCAGTGTGTGTGTGTGTGTGTGTCAGTGTGTGTGTGTGTGTGCGTGTGTGTGTGTGTGTGTGTGTGTCTGTCTGTGTGTGCATGTGTGTCAGTGTGTGTGTGTGCGCGTGTGTGTCAGTGTGTGTGTGTGCATGTGTGTCAGTGTGTGTGTGTGTGTTTGGGTCAGCTCACTTTGTGGCTGTCATTACATAATAGTGTAGTAGAACAAAGCAGACCAGAGCCATCCACATCGCAGCATGTCCATAGTGCTAATTTAGTCCTGGTTCAGTAGGAATTTTATTTCAGCCTCAAAAAAGACCAGCTCCAGACCTGGTTCAGACCAGCTCCAGACCTGGTTAAGAACTGGTTCAGACCTGATTCAGACCCGGTTCAGACCTGCTCCAGACCTGGTTCAGACCCGGTTCAGACCTGGTTCAGACCTGTACCAGTCTGAATAGAGATATTAGAGATATTTATACATCAGATGATCCTGACCCTGGAGATGCAGATGTTTTCTTCTGTCTCTGAACAGAAAGTCTTCATTTCAACCACTCGTCGTCAAAAGTACATGATGTTCTCGGCCTCGTCTTAAGATCAGCTTCAGAAAGAAAAGTGAAAGATCAACCTTTAAAAACTGCTCAAATGCTTCGTCTCGTCCACTGGTCTGTACAACTAACTAACTAAAGCCCTGAGAACTGTGGGAGCAGAGGTATCCGGGTCACACTCAGGGTTACTGCAGGTCACATGGTCCTAGGTCACATGGTCCTAGGTCACATGGTCTAAGGTCCTCCTCTCTTCAGACTTCAGTGTGTTTTAACTTAAGAACATAGAAAATACAAAGTAAACTCCACAGACTTTTAGCGGCTTCAGACCGAGTCCTTGCAGTTCTCTCAGATAAAAGCATTGATCTTCTCTTCCACCTGGTACGCCTCTGCTCCCACATGGTTTTACTGATCGGACTATCAACACTTGGTGAGAGAGAGAGAGAGAGAGAGCGAAGAGAAGAGGACACCCCAGTAGTTCCATCTCCTTGTAGTTTTCACATCTGTACGATCCTTGACCTGCTCAGACATAGCCTGGTCTTACCACACCATTGTACTCATTTCATTTCATACTAAGGTCTGGATTTGCTCCATTGACTCCGTGAACAGGTGGGAGGGGCTAACTCCTTTTGCAGATTGAAACGATTGGATCTGAGTTTACTGTGACGTATGTAATGATCCTGAGTGAGTGAGGCCTTTAGCATTTAGCCTAGCTTTAGCCATCTCCTTTGCCGCTAACGGAGCCCGTGGGGAGTAGAGCCACAATCTTTGCCAGTGATTCCTCTTGCTCCGGCTTCAGTTTCTTGACAGAACAGATTACTTTACTATCACACTCTCCACCATCGCCAAACTACAACCAGAAATTTGGCGCAAACTCCTGACGTCACCGACACCTTCCTACAACACCGCCTCCCGCGCTCGCTGATTGGTCGGAGGGGATTCAACCGATGTAATTGCAGACACTGGGACCAGACCCACACGTACATGATAATGATGTAGGAAATGATAATTGACCAGAGTTAACGGATGGATAATGGTGCTTTCAGACCGCAAACAGCCGCAGACAGCTGAAGCCCCGCTCACCAGACGCGCATTCTCTAGTTCTTCACACCAGAACGTCCTGACCAGCGCCGGAAGTGGCGGGAGTAGCCGGCCGGCTCTGATGCTAACAGAGCTATGCTAGCGGCTTCTCGTGCAAAGATCTTCTCCAATATGCAGCTTTGCAGCGCGTCTGTGTTCAGAGACCTTCCACAGACTTTATATAACAGTAGTATGTGTTCACGGAGGTCCGCAATAAGTTTATTTTATTATTAAACTGTATTTCCGCATCGGCAAACACACTCGAAGTAGTTGCATAAAGTCACGGGAGCATGACAACGCATATATTCACAAGCACAGAGTCCCCCATTGTCAACCCTGGTTTAGTCCTGGTTTAGTCCTGGTTTAGTCCTGGTTTAGTCCTGGTTTAGTCCTGGCTTAGTCCTGGCTTAGTCCTGGCTTAGTCCTGGCTTAGTCCTGGCTTAGTCCTGGCTTAGTCCTGGCTTAGTCCTGGCTTAGTCCTGGCTTAGTCCTGGCTTAGTCCTGGCTTAGTCCTGGCTTAGTCCTGGCTTAGTCCTGGCTTAGTCCTGATGTAGCTCCTGTTTTGGCTGTTTACAGTATTTTCAGTCTGCTCGCTCAGACCGCAAATGTCCCCGTGACCACTTTGCGGCTCTCTGATTGGTCGCTGCACAAACGTCCCGAGGAAAAGTTGAGCAAAGTTTATCTCCTGTGGGCGTCCATTTTCCGCTCCTGCTCCTCCCCTTTGACTTTCCCGCGCAGTCTGTGCGTCTCTACAGAGCGGTCCGTTCGTGCGTCCCGAGACGTTTGTGCGTTACCATTGACTTTGCGTTGAAAACCGACGCAATGCATGATCCGGTCTGAAAGCACCATAAGACCAGACTAGCTCAGAAGTTAGAAGGATCCGCAACAACATCATCTGCTGTTTGTACTTTGGAACTGGTTATTTTAGTTTATTTTACACACATGTACAAACACACACACTCTCTCTGTCCTCTGTCTCTCTCTCGCTATCACTATCACTATGTCTCTCACTCTGGTCTCTTTGTCTCTGTCTCTCTCTCTGTCTCTCTCTGGTCTCTCTCTCTGGTCTCTCTCTCTGGTCTCTCTCTGGTCTCTCTCTGGTCTCTCTCTGGTCTCTCTCTGGTCTCTCTCTGGTCTCTCTCTGGTCTCTCTCTGGTCTCTCTCTGGTCTCTCTCTGGTCTCTCTCTGGTCTCTCTCTGGTCTCTCTCTGGTCTCTCTCTGGTCTCTCTCTGGTCTCTCTCTGGTCTCTCTCTGGTCTCTCTCTGGTCTCTCTCTGGTCTCTCTCTGGTCTCTCTCTGGTCTCTCTCTGGTCTCTCTCTGGTCTCTCTCTGGTCTCTCTCTGGTCTCTCTCTGGTCTCTCTCGGTCTCTCTCCGGTCTCTCTCCGTCTCTCTCCCTGTCTCTCTCTCTCTGTTCTCTGTAATCTGGATAAAAGCAGTGTGTATGGATTCGACAGAGGACTTTATTGGGCTGTGTCTTTGTTGACCTCATTTCTGAGTCGACACAAACATAAAAACAGAGGAAATGCCACCAGGTTCCACTGCTGCTGTTTCTTATGGAGGCCCGTTGCTATGGTTACGGTACCAATGTTCGTTCGGATCGAGATAAGTGGAGGCACAAATCAGATCCGGGTCACTCTTCCGCCTCAGGCCCGCCCCTCCTCAGGCTTCACGCACACACACGGACACACACACACACACACACCTCCTGATGCTGCTCACCACAAACAAGATACACACACACACACACACACACACACACACCTCCTGATGCTGCTCACCACAAACAAGATACACACACACACACACACACACACACCTCCTGATGCTGCTCACCACAAACAAGATACACACACACACTCACAAAACAGATGCAAAAACATACAAACATCTAAACTAAACTCCGGCTTCCGTTCACATCTGTTGAGTCTTTCAAATGGCTTCAACACTCATTCTCACACACATTCTTATTAACCCAGCCAGAGGGCCACTTTGGTTCATCAGACTAGACCTGGGGCCGACAACCTCCATCTACAAACTGGATTCACTGGATTCTGGAATTCAAAATGGGGTACGATACGTCCTTATTGATTCACATCTGCATTTTAAAGTTGCAACGATAAATTAACGACTGGATTCCAGAGGGTCTGAGATTCTCACACACTAAATAGGAGCAGCTTCACAACATCCCCTCAGCCTGTTTATGTTCTGTGTAGAGGCCTGATCAGAAAACCCACACACACACACACACACACAGCAGACACACACACAGTATTTTCCTCTGTAACTGTTCATTATAAACTGTTCGAAGGTGCTGTTGTCAAAGTCTCCCTCAAAAAAGACATTTTACCACAAGGACCTCCTGGTTAAATAAAGGTTACATAAAAATACACATCAGACACACACATGCACAGACACACACACACATGCACAGACACACACACTCACTTACAGCTCCTAATGTCTCAGAGGAAACACAGACTACACTGATCACTGAGCACAGATGTTAAAGTGCTATGTACTGTCTGTGGGAGCACATCTTTAAACTGAAAACATCAGAGATACTTCTGTCCCTCACAAACAGTGTCTGACACCTGACAGCAGCTCTGCCCTGCTCCTCCTGCTGAACTGCAGGTCAACTCTGGAGGAGCCAAGTCCCTGTGTGCAGTGTTCTACAGAAGCCAAAGGTACCAAAGGTACCAAAGGTACACAGACCTCACCTGAACTAATCTCAATTACATTTAAGACACTGAAGTCACATCCCTGAAGAAATGCTCTTATTCCAGGCTGAGGCTTCATTAGACACATACATCCTCTGAAATATCGATATAATTCACTGTCCGTGCACTTGTGATGCGCGTGCACTACAATAAACCAGGGGCGGACTGGACCTGTGTCTAATTAGCACTTTTCTGGCCTATAATTCCGCAGTGTTTACATGCGTTGCGTAAGATCGCAGAAGCAGCTGATGCAGAAGCAGCCTCTGATCCGGCTGCGACTGGATCCCGCTTGTCTCCTTCTCTTCTGGTCCTGGAGATCCGTTCTCCAGGACCACTCCCGGGAGCTGTCTGTCCCCAGTACCCGAGCAACGCGCTGTCTCAGGGACGCGCATACGCAACACGAGGCGCTCGTCCGGAGCAGTCATTAGGTGGGGGGCGTGAGCTGTGGTGGGGGCCGTGAGCTGCGCAGGGGCACGGTCAGAGTGCGGCCCCTGAAGCTCCACACACGCAGACGCGCGGTCACTTACCCCGGGGTTCTGCGATGAGCGGTGCGGCGTCTGTGCGCGGAGGAGCGGGAGTGCGCGCACCGCTCCGGCCCTGACTGGGACATCTGAGGAGACTCCGCCCCCATGAGAGGAGGGCAGGGGGAGAGGGAAGGGGGAGGAGGAGAGAGGGGTCCGCCCATACAGCCTGGGGTCACAGAAACGTACGCACTGGACCGAACTATTATATACTGCCATAAAGACTAGATTATGATGAGTTGCGTAATGATGCTCCATGCGAGGGTCGGGACTCTGGGGGGTCGCAAAAGTTTAAGACCAGAAGGACAAAGACAACAATGAAATGTTTTTATAGTTTGTTTTCTTAAAGGGTTCTAATCAGAATTATTGAAGAAATGGGAGCCCTTCACAGTCTGAAAGCACCGATGTTTACGTATGACGTCATTGTGTAACGGGATGATTACGTGCTTTCACGTGATTGTATCATGTGATGGTTTAATACTGGTGCCATTCCCACTGAACTCTGAATCACCTCTACACAGAGCGACACAAAACCACAGCCTCCAACCCGCTGTGTTCAGTGTGAACACTCAGACCAACTTTTGAATGTTCTGGAAACATCGGTCGCTCTGAAACAGATGTTGTTTTGTGTTTACAGTCATTATTTTTCATTTCTACTACAGAACAGTGTTAGCTGTACTGTAGTAAAGGACTTTGGTGACTGTGGAATGATTGACATTTGGGAGGAGCAATAGTGTTGATAATCCACTCAAAAGTAGAAAATCTTCCTGTATACTTCGATGTTTGGTCCAGTTTTGGTTCTGTCCACAGGAACTGAACTAATTCTAATCAGAAAAGAATGTCCAATCCAACTAATGTGAAACAAGTCATTTATATAGATACCTTCATATTCCATCCATCCATCCATTTTCTTCCACTTCATCCGTTGCCAGGTCGCGGGGGCAGCAGTCTAAGCAGAGACGCCCAGACTCTATCCACACACTTCCTCCAGCTCGTCCAGGGGGACCCCAAGGCGTTCCCAGGCCAGCTGAGAGACATAGTCCCTCCAGCGTGTCCTTGGTCTTCCCCGGGGCCTCCTCTTGGTGGGACGTGCCCGGAACACCTCCCCAGGGAGGCGTCCAGGAGGCATCCAGGAGGCATCCGGAACAGATGCCTGAGCCACCTCAACTGGTTCCTCTCGACGTGGAGAAGCAGCGGCTCTACTCCGAGCTCCTCCCGTGTGACTGAGCTCCTCACCCTATCTCTAAGGGAGCGCCCAGCCACTCTGCGGAGGAAGCTCATTTCGACCGCTTGCATCCGCGATCTCGTTCTTTCGGTCATTACCCACAGCTCATGACCATAGGTGAGGGAGAGAACGAAGATTGACCGGTAAATCGAGAGCTTTGCCTTTCGGCTCAGCTCCCTCTTTACCACAACGGTCCGATACAGAGACCGCATCACTGCGCACGCTGCACCGATCCGCCTGTCAATCTCACGCTCCATCTTTCCCTCACTCATGAACAAGACCTCGAGGTACTTGAACTCCTCCACTTGAGGAAGGACCTCTCCACCCACCTGTAGAGGGCAAGGCACCTTTTTCCGGTCGAGCACCATGGCCTCGGATTTGGAGGTGCTGATTCTCATCCCAGCCGCTTCACACTCTGCTGCAAACCGTCCCAGTGCATGTTGTAGGTCCTGGTTCGTTGGAGCCAACAAGACAACATCGTCCGCAAACAGCAGAGATAAAATCCTGTGGTCCCCGAACCGGACCCCTCCGGCCCCTGCCTGCGCCTAGAAATTCTGTCCATAAAGACAGTGAACAGAACCGGTGACAAAGGGCAGCCTTGGCGGAGGCCAACATGCACCGGGAACAGGTCTGACTTACTGCCGGCAATGCGAACACAGCTCTGACTCCGGTCATACAGGGACCGGACGGCCCTCAGCAGAGGACCCCGGACCCCGTACTCCCGGAGAACCCCCCAAAGGACACCCCGGGGACACGGTTGAACGACTTTTCCAAATCCACAAAGCACATGTGGACAGGTTGGGCGAACTCCCATGAACCCTCGAGTATCCGATGGAGAGTATAGAGCTGGTCCAGTGTTCCGCGACCGGGACGAAAACCACACTGCTCCTCCTGGAACAGAGATTCGACCATCGGCCGTAGCCTCCTCTCCAGTACCTTGGAGTAGACCTTACCGGGGAGGCTGAGGAGTGTGATCCCCGATAATTGGAACACATCCTCCGATCCCCCTTCTTGTAGAGAGGGACCACCACCCCGGTCTGCCACTCCATTGGCACCGCCCCCGATCGCCACGCGATGTTGCAGAGACGTGTCAGCCAAGACAGTCCTACAACATCCAGAAACTTTAGATAGTCAGGACGGATATTATCCACTCCCAGCGCCTTGCTTCCAAGGAGGCTGCCAACCACCTTGGTGACCTCTGCCAGGGAGATGGAAGTATCCGCCCCAACATCCTCAGCCTCTGCCCCCTGAACGGAGGACGTGACGGGGGGGATTGAGGAGAACCTCAAAGTATTCCTTCCACCGCCCGACAATATCCCCAGTTGAGGTCAGCAGCTCTCCATCTGCATCGTACACAATGTTGGCAAAGAACTGCTTCCCCCTCCTGAGGCGCCGGACGGTTTGCCAGAATCTCTTCGAGGCCGATCGATAGTGATGCTCCATAGACTCTCCGAACTCCTCCCAGTCCACCAAGCGTGCCGTGGCCCGGGCTGCTGCAGAGGCAAAAACCCGGGCCGCGGCACGCTTGGCCTGCCGGTACTGGACAGCTGCCTCAGGAGTCCCACGAACCATCATGGCTCGATAGGACTCCTTCTTTAGCCTGATGGCATCCCTTACTGCCGGTGTCCACCACCGGGTTCTGGGGTTGCCGCCGGGACCAGCACCAGAGACCTTGCGACCACAGCTACGAGCTGCCGCATCAGCAATAGAGGAAGAGAACATGGTCCACTCGGACTCAATATCCCCCTCCTCCGCCGGGACCTGGGAGAAGCTCTCCCGGAGGTGTGAGTTGAAAGTCCGTCTGACAGGGGGCTCAGCGAGACGTTCCCAGCAAACCCTCACTACTCGCTTGGGTCTGCCAGGTCTGACCGGCTTTCTCTCCGCCTTCGACTGCTTCCCAGTCCTCTCTGTACCTTGCCACGACGGACCCCTCTGCGGGTGGTGGGCCCACATGAGGGACTGCCCACGTCGACCTTTTGGGCTGAGCCCGGCCGGGCCCCATGGGCTACGGCCCGGTCACCAGGCACTCGCTTGCGAGCCCCGACCCCAGGCCTGGCTCCAGGGTGGGGCCCCGGCTGCGCCATGCCGGGCGACGGCACTGTTATTCTGCTAGTGCTGTTCATGGTTGGCTTTGGACTGCGCTTCGTCTGACTCGTCACCCGAGACCTGTCTGCCATGGGAGACCCTACCAGGGCCATGAAGCCCCAGACAACATAGCTACCAAGATCACCAGAGTACAAAGAAGACACCTTCATATTCCTTTTTTTTTTTTTTTTATAATTGAAACCCACTTATTCTTTTGGCCCCTGACCAGCCCTTTCACTTTTTTTTATTTGGCCCTTAACCAAAATAAGTTTGACACCCCTGGTCTACAACATTCATGGACACTGTTCTCTCCCTATGGTCCAATACCATGTGTTCTCTCCCTATGGTCCAATACCATGTGTAATATCTGTGTTTGAACGATTTGATTCTCTGATCTGTGTCGGCAATTTCAACGGTTTTGTAAAGTCTTTGAGAAACGACTGTTGTGATTTAGGGCGATACAAGAATACATTCTATTGAATTGTTTACATGACCTTATGCCAAATGTGACATCAATAGTCTGTTTTTTCTTATTTCTTCTGATCCAGACCAGACCAGATCCACAGTTCCAACCAAACAGATCCAGGAGAAATCCACTAAATGAATGCTAGTTTTTTTTGTTATTCTAAAAAAGCTCTCAGAATTTCACTCTGAACCAGAGCAGGGAAAATGCAGGCAAACTCTGGATACATCAACCAAAGGTCTAAAAGTGTCTAAATGACCCAGGGCTGGTCAAGTTAGGAAAAATCAACAAAATTCAGCTCGAAATAAGGGTATTTTTTATCCCTGTGACGAGGATTCACACGGGTTTAGCCGTGAACTCCCTCTTGGTTTTCTATTCCCATGTTTTTCCTCCATTTGAAAGTTTTTCTCGTTTTGTAAATCACTCTATTATTATGAATATTTCCGCAAACTTTGCACTGAGCAGAACGAGGCTGAGACAGTAGCCGCAAAGCCCCTTCACTCAGCGCACACCTCGAGCTGCTCCAGAGAAAACGACACAATGTGAAGTCAAACCTTTATTTTCAAACCACACAACACAAAGTTATACAAATTAGCTTATTCCAAAATAGTTCAACTCTATATCCCAGAGCTCTCCTCGTCTTCTGGGAATGGGACATGGCTCAGTTTTTGACAATTAAAAAGCAAATAAACAATAAATACAAATTTTTTACCGCAAAAACAAGGCAGTAGAAGATTAAAAGAATGTATGCAGTGCACGTTTTTCTCTCCGTTGGAAGTTCTACTGAGAACAGAGCCACGAAAACAACACGGAGAATCTATGGATCAAAACACCGCAAAAAAGTTATAATTCTGTAACATTTTTTAAAGCTGGGTACCTAACTTTTTGCCACATTGGGATATCGCCGACTGTTGAGGGCCGCACCCAATCTCACATGGTTCATTTTCAATTTAATTTTCAGTACTAACATTTAAAAATATATGCATATTTTGTTTTTCCTGTTTTTTTCCTTTCCTTTCAAAAATTCAATTGAATATCCAGTGTTTTCTTTGTGGACATTTTGTTTAGAGCCAATTATTACCAAAAACATCTTGGGCTCAATGTATAACAGGCCATGGAGTCTGGGGGCCCTGTAGACATGTGAATTGGGCCGCATGTGGCACCCAGGCCGCACTTTGCCCAGGTCTGCTTTAAGCTGAATGTGGACACTAGTGACAGAACTGTTTCAGATCCAGGAAGTAATGACATGGATTTTATTACATATTTTCTCTCTGGGTTGAAAGTTAAGTACCCAAGCTTTTAAAACCTGCACATCTCGTCAGCAGCCTCTAATTTATCAACAGAAAATAAAAATAAAATATAAATAAAGTCTACGGTTCTGCGTAATCTTTATCGATGCACAGCAGAAAATCATCGTGTGGTTCTGGGACCAGGGAGAAACAAAACAAACCCAAACATAACTATATTTTCACATTCTGTTCTTATTTCAGGACATTGGTCTCTGCCCCTAAAGGACCATAAAGGCTCTATGTGTTTGAACTGTCTGATTCTCTGATCTGTGTTGGTGAATCGACAGCTTCGAGTCCTTTGAGATAATAACTAATGTTGTGATTCAGGGCGATAACAGAAATACATGGAATGGAATGGATCACGACCTGGAGCTTCATTCTCGCACTTATCAACACGTCCTGGAGTCACTGCTTCATATTTAATGCGTCTTCAAGCGGATTCATCCACAGTATGTCCCAGACCGAGGGGGGGGGGGGGGGGGGATGAGGGGGTTTGTGCTGGTCCCGCTGGGTCGCTGCCCTGGAGGCAACAGCTCTGAACAGGCTGCATGTTTAGTATTCTTCTCTCACAGTCTCACAGCCCACAGAGGAGCTTCCACATCCAGCAGGAGGAGGAGGAGGAGGAGGAGGAGGAGGAGGAGGTCGAGGAGGAGAAGAAAGGACTTAGGGGATGATGGACTTTTCCTGGTCGTCTGCTGTGTACGAAGAAGACACCTTCCATAACTCCTGCACACAACACACACAAGTACACACATACAGAAACACACACACACACACATACAGAAACACACACACACACACACACACACACACACAAAAAGTTACAGATACATGTGACCAGTCCAATTACTCATTCCACTAAAGCAAAAGATTTTACTCAAAATGTTACATTTACCATGAGTGTGGTTTCAGCAAAAAGGCCAAAAAAGTAAATGTCACACACACTTAAAGCTGCATTACTTCACTTTATTTTTGTATTCATTACAAATTTTCAATCCATGTCCATGCAGTGCATTGGGATTCCTTTTGAAGAAAAAGTAGCGCAGGTTTGTGCTGGACTGTCATTTTATTTTAGATTGAGTTTTCGTGCAACAAGGAAGAGGATTTGTTTTGGGTCCAGATTGTGACCAATCACAGCGGACCACTGGCCCCCACTTTCTTGAGAAAAGCCGCGGGTCTCTCGTTAGCACAGACAGCTAACGGCTAACCTGAAGCTTCCAGTGTCTCCGTTACCGGTTTCTGCTTACACAGTAAAACAGCCAAAAGAAAGTCTTGTTCCTCCGCGCTTCCAGGTTCTATAATTCTATGGTCACGCCACGCTCAAATGTGCCATCCATATTGTGAGACGTGAGCTCCGAAAACAAATAAGCACAGGCTGCGTGAGGGAAGGGGGTAGTGGGGGGTGATAGCTCCGTGAGTGCGGGGAGAGCGAGCAGAAGTGCGAGGCCAGCGATCACATTAGAAAGTTTCAAAGTGAGTTTGTGCAGCTTTAAAGTAGCAATATGTAAGATTTTCAAGTCAAGTCATCATTAAAGGGCCCTAATCTGTCATAACAATAAACCGCTCTTTTACCACGTCGAGCTAATCTCACTGGTAAAGTACCATGTGGCACAGGTCTCGTTATGATTCTCAAATCATTCACGACAAAACATGGAATAAAACCAGGATTTCTATCTTTGTGAAAAAGGTGTTGGTTAAAGATTTGTTGCTGTTGTCTATTCAGTTATGTTTATGGTCCCAGCTGGAATCGTCTGCATATCTGGCAACCTGAGTCAAGGAGAGTGGCAGATATTGCAGTACCACTTTTGCCCAGATTTGTACATACTGCTCTTTTAAAGCTGGGGTACCTGACTTTCAAAACACAAAATACTGAACCGTGTAAGAAAATACTCGTACACAAGTCGGTCCTGGCTCTAAACCAGTTTTGATTCTGTCACAGTGATGTCAGAGTGCGCAAAATGTGCAATGTAGACCCAAATGTGTCCACTGTCACTTTACTGCCACTTTGTCCCAGACCCCCAGGAGTTAGTGTTAGAGTTAAGTTAATTTTATAATGTATTGTTGCCCTCACTCTGCTCTCAGCCCTAAGCGTCCAATAGTGACTCCCAGGGCTCTTTCTCACACAAACGCAAAAGATATGTTTTCTACTGAGATTGTCACATGGGTGAAAAACAAATGAGGCCCAAAAGGCAAAAACTGCAAAATGATGGATTTAATGAAAGTAATACAAATCAAGACCTACCAAAAACACAGGGAACGGACAGAACCAAAACAGACTAGGAATGACAATGACGGAACAGGGAGTGAAGGAACACACAGGGCTAAATACAAGACTAACGAGACACAGGTGAGACAGATGAGGGCAGGGCAGCTAATCAGACAACAGGAAGTACAACCAAAGAAGACACAGGGATAACACATTTCAAAATAAAACAGGAAATAAACTTAAACCATGACAGTACCCTCTCCTCAAGGGACGGATCCCAGACGTCCCAAAAACAAAACCAGGGAGGGAGGAAGGAGGGGGACCGTAGGAAGGACCGGGGCGTGTAACCGGCACGAGAAGCCGGGGCCGGGACGTGAAGCCGGGGCCGGGACGTGAAGCCGGGGCCGGGACGTGAAGCCGGGGCCGGGACGTGAAGCCGGGGCCGGGACGTGAAGCCGGGGCCGGGACGTGAAGCCGGGGCCGGGACGTGAAGCCGGGGCCGGGACGTGAAGCCGGGGCCGGGACGTGAAGCCGGGGCCGGGACGTGAAGCCTCAGAGCTGGAGCAGGAACTTGAGCCGGGACTGGAGCAAAACGGGTACGGAAGGCCCCCTGGATGGAGAACAATATCCAGCGGAGCCAAGTCAGGGACGAAAGCCTGCAACCACCCAGGACGGAGCAAAGTGTCCTGCAGTGGTCCAGGACACAGACAGACAGGGATGCGTCCAGCTCCTGCAGCAACTGTCAAGACCAGTCGGGGACAAAGGCCAGAGATGACAGAAAATAAAAAAACAAAAATAAAGCAGTCTGCTTGGGCCTTGAGTGGTTCCATCATTCTGTCACGTGGTGAGAGATGATGGAGGACTCAAACGCAGGAATGCAAAAATAAAGGTTTTAATAAAACAAAGTCCAAGGCATAAAAATAAACTCGAAAATCCAAAGAAACCAGAACAGGACATGAACAAGACAAGAACAAGACAATGAACCAACAACAAGGGGAGAGAAGCACAGGGTACATATAGACACACACAGACACAGGTGAAACACATCAGGGCGGGGCAGACAATCAACAGGGAACAGGGCATGAAGCAACTGTCAAAATAAAACCGAATACAAAAATAAAATCCACACCATGACAGAGATGAAGAGAGTTGTGGAGAGTTTGTAAATATTCTAAAGTATTGGACAAACGACATACCTCAGCTTTAAAGCAAATGACAACAGACATTCGTTAAGGTCACATCATTAAGGCAGGCGACACACACACGCAGGCGACACACACTCACACACACACACACATCCATCCATCCATCCATTTTCTACCCTTTAATCCATTTCTGGGTCAGGGGGGTGGCAGTCAGAGATGCCACCCAAGTCTCATAGCACCAGCCCCTCACTGACCCTCTGCAGGTGGTGAGTCCACAGGAGGACGGCTGCTCTCTGACTGTGAGCATAGCCTTGATCTTTCAGGGGGGGCTTTTTGGGCAAAGTGGGGTTAAGTGTCTTGCCCAAGGACACAACGACAGCAGTCATCAGTGGGAGTCGGTGGAGAAGGTGTAGAGGTGGGAATTGAACCCACGACCTTCTGGCCTTAAGGCCAATGCTCTACCAACTGAGCTACTGTCGCCCTCTACCAACTGAGCTACTGTCGTTGGAATCAATCCATTGACTTTGATCTCTGTGGACTTGCCCTCTTCTGCCCCCCTGTGGCATCACCTGCTATTACAGCCCTGTCCTGATTAACTCAAAGCATCTACAGTTGTCATTTTCAGAAGTTTTTTTACTTTTCTGATCTCATGAACAAGTTGTACTTTCTTTTATAATGGGACTTTTGCGACCAAGGTCACGCAAATTGCTTCACAACAGACAAAAGATACATAGTTTACAAACACTTTACTTCAGTCTTTTCTCTTTAAACGAGTTCAAAGAGGACGAGCAGCTGTGTGTGATCTGACTTTTGGTTCCATACATTTTACTCCGGCTGAACTAGATTATCCCTCACTAATTAACAGACAATCAAGTGATAATTAGTGAATCCTAATCCTAACCCACATGGGAAAGTGTCACAGTTAGTAGTTAGCTCGATGTTGAAAAAGGCCATGTAGAATAAGGACTAATAAGTGCTTAATAAATACCAACAAAAAGTTAATTAATCATAAATTAAACACCAATTATAGCTAGTTCATTTAGAGTTGGATAAACTAAAGAGTGACCTATTACTCTACAACTGAGTATCTTTATGTGCCTTTTAATGCCTTGGGTTTCGTTCAGAGCTTTGAGTTGGGTATGAATTGTGCTATACAATTAAACCTTGCCTTACTCCTGCATTCAAATATTGGTGTTTTCTGAACTTCTAAGTGCACCTGTTTATCCACAGATGAATTTAAAAAGAAAGTACCGTAATGTGCGGACTATAAGCTGCTACTTTTTCTAGTTCCTTGCCCCCTGCGGCTTATACGGTGTAGCAGCTTATGTGTGCATTCATACTGTGGTTATCAGAGTTTATGGACTAATTATTTTGACTTCAAAAGTTTCAGGAGCTACAGAACACTTGTTTATTGTCAGAAGAGATGAAGGTGAATGAGTGATGGAAGCTAACGGCTAAGCTAATAAACACCTCGTCATGATATCATGTGATCAGTTTAAACAGTCGTCTCTCTGTTACATATCACAACATGAAAAACCTGCGGCTTATATTCAAGAGTGGCCTATATGGGGACAGCATTGATTTTCTTCACATATTTTGGTGGTGCGGCTTACATACAGGTGCAGCTTACATACAGGTGCTGCTTACATACAGGTGCGGCTTACATACAGGTGCGGCTTACATAACCAGGTGCTGCTTTACAGGTGCGGCTTACATACAGGTGCGGCTTACATACAGGTGCGGCTTACATACAGGTGCGGCTTACATACAGGTGCGGCTTACAGGACCTTTTGTGTGATCCGAATTTTCACTTGGCACTCTCCTCTCCCTCATACCAATAACAAACCTTATATCTGTTTTAGCATTTATATGATATGATCAGAAGTTTGTTCCATTGCAATTCCCCGTTGACCCATTGTATCTGTTATCAATTTACTATTACGGGATCTCTGCGCCTGGCCATCTACCATTCACACCTGCGGACCTTCCCCGCCACGCCTCGGGAGAGTGATCGTCCAGCCCGGGTGTCCACTGTTCAGCTGGCCCACATGACCACGTTCTTGTAGCAATCTTAGTACCCTAGCCTCATTAAGACATGACCTTCCGGCTGGATTGGATACCCTTACTATATGTTGTTCTCCCCCTTCCCAGTGTTAATCCCCCACTTCCTCACCAATTATACACACAAATACCCACATTTAAATATTACAGTATTGTGTCTTTACCAAGACCTCATGCAGAGTTGTATCATTATTGGTACAGTATATACCACCAGACAGGATTGTTGATGAACAGGACCACTTTTCGCATTTCCAACATTACAGTTCACAAATCAACTGTTGATGGATATATATCTAATACAATTGATTTACGTA